CCCAGTCACAGAAATGCCATCGCCCCCCGTACCCCACAGCCGCACTAACCACACCTGGGTACTCTCCCTGGCCTTCTGCTGGTGTGACCAGAAACCAGGCCAGGAAAGGGTTACTGAAAATCTGATCCGTAACTAAACATAGTTTGTCAAATGTTTTCCAGACAAGGAGAAAACAGAATGTGCTGTTTCCAGAAGTCGATGCCCTTGTTTCTGCAGATGGTGCCGTCCTGCAGTGAGACGGACAGGGCTGCAGCAGGCCCCCTGCAAACTGCTCCGGCTCTAGGTGTCCAGAAGTCACCTTAGACCTGGTAGGTACTGGCATGTTGCATTGAGCTCGGTACATGATGTCGGGCACGTGCCCCCTGACCGGGCCCCGCTGTCACACAGCTGTGACACATGCTCCGCACTCACCAGTATAGAGTCTCCAGCGGCACTAAGCTGGGGCGGGGTGGGCGCTTCTTTGGGAGCTATCCTCGATGTCCTCCACTGCTTGTGCGAGCAGTACGTCTTTTTTCTTCACTCACTTCAGCCTTGGTTGTGCTTTTTGGCTCCACACTCGCCGAGAGACAGACCCGGTGATTTCGGTTACGCTGGAACTCGGCGGCTGTGTCAGTAAGCTCAGTGGGAGCACGTTCTCTCATCCCCTGCACTGGGGCGGCCCCGCGGGCGGGGGTTGCTGTGGCTGTGGTCTGTCTTTCTTTGTATTCGGGGTTGGACAACGCGGGGCGCTTCCTCCACTCGCCGTCAAGTCAATCACCACCACATCCTCCTCTTCACTCTCCTCACTTTCCCAGGGGTTCCACCTCGTAGTGTCCCAATCAGGCTTTGTCACAAGTGCTCGGACCTTAATCTGAGGCAGCTCGTGCCTTCCTAGCTTTGCAAAATGGCACGCTGAGGCCCACTGACCCTCCTGCTCTCCAGTCTGCCAGCCCGAGGGTAGCAGAGCAGGGGACACCACACATCCTTCTCTGACCTCAGCTCTTCCTCCAACTTCTTAACTTGAGCTTCAGCCTCTAGCTGGGCATCGGGGGCCAGCCGGACTGCCCAGAGTCGAGACCAGCCCACTGCGGCAGCCGTGCGTTTCCTTTCTTCGCAGCAGTGCACGATGCGCAGTTCCTTAAACGAGCGCATTACACCAGCCAGTGTTTGCGGGGTGTCCCTGCACTCACGTGATGGTCCACAAGTGTTACCAAATTGACCTCACTCCGGTGGGACTCACATTCGGAGGAGCTCTGAGGAGGGACCCACAGTCCGTCCCCTCCCCAGAGAGTTCTTTTCTGTTCAGAGTCGCAGACTTGAAACGAAACTGAAGCTGAGCAGTCAACGGCACAAGCTTCAATTCAATGGCCAAAGAATGGAGAAGTGGGCACTAGGTTCACAAATCAACTTCTCAGCTCGTGGGGCATGTAAGCAGCTGTTATAAGGGGTCCAGGTAATGAAGGGGAGGAAAATTCATAGTTTTCAGAGACATGGGCAGGCTTTTCTGGGGATCAAGGGTGCCACCTCTTTTCTTTCCTTATCTGGCTATATCCTGCCGTTGCCGTGGCAATTGTTAACTGTCATCGGGCTGGTGGGTGTGTTGTATAGCGTGGTAATGCATTACAATGAGCGTGTAATGAGCTGCGGGGTCCAGGTCAGGGCAAGTCAGGCTGCCATGTTGCCTTCACCCAGTGTTGACGGGTTTGGACTGTATGTCTCAGCATCTCCTCCTTCCTCTCGCTGTGGTTTCCTGTAAGCTGAAGAGAACGTGTCAGGCTTGTTCTGAGCAGGACTGCAGTTACTGGCTTATGGGGTCGGTGGGCCAGGTAACACAAGCATCTAACACATGGCCAGCCCTCCCCACACAGAGGTAGATGGCCAACCCGGGAGTTCCCCTGCGGATATGCCTCTTTCCCAAGACCACCTCTTCAGGCTCCTGGCTGGCCCGCTAGTTGTTGCTTCACAACCTCAGAATTCCCCAGGGGGAAATCTGAAACTGGCCCTGTACGCAGAGGGAAGGGAGGACCCGAAGGAAGAGGCAGCCAATCCAGATCGCTAGGTGGCAGGTTTAATAAGCAGGGGAACTTACTTACGAGGCTTGTCCTGGCCGCCACAAGACGAGCAGATCTCACACCCGCCCGCCAGAATCTTAGGAGTTTATATAGAGGCCTTAACAGGGCTCAGTCACATCTACATGCAGATGGTCTCAACGACACACAGCTCTCTCACGGTTGTGCCTTTTCGTGGCTCCTAGTGGAGGAACAGTGGGCGGACGTATATTCCATGAGCAGGGGAGGGGGTGAGGAGCCTCGGGTGGTCCTCTCGACGACCTCCTCCAACAAGGAACATGCTCTGAACGCCCACACTCAGCCTGGGCTGGGTGAGAGGCTGGGACGGAGAAGGTGGTGCTGACTGAACCGTGGCCCCAGGCCATGTCCGCAGTGGGTGGAGGACACCCTGGAGCCGGTGTGTCTTACAGCAGATGGAGGAGTATACTGCCTAAGAACAGGTGCTGCTGGGACGGGGTCCGGGAAGGAGCTGGAAGGAAAACAAGAACTGTGACACGCTTGGAGAGACAAGCATCCACTCACCACAGGGGCGAGCATCAGACTAAATTCTGGATTCCTCTTTAGGAAAAGAGAGAGCCAGGGAGACACAGGGCCGTGGGACCCAATAACTGCATTTCAGGGAATTCAGTCTGAGGAGAGCACTCCATCAAATCCAAAACTTGTCAGATGCTAACAAGGATGAGCTCTCACAGGTTCGTTAGATGGCACCAGCATTGAGCCAAGCACTTTTCATATGCTGATGGACTTCAACCCCCTCATAACCTGGGGGGGCCCACTGTCACACGCAGCACAGGCCCAGCGAAGCCGAGAAGCGGGTCCCAGCCAGAGGGGAATCTGAGGTCAGGTCTGACTCTGGACCTGCACTAAGGCCCCCCCAGGGAGGGCCTCTCACCTCGGCACTGTCGAGGCCAATCGTTGTCTGCTGTGCCGGGGCCATCCTACAAACAGCTGACCGGCTCTCCTCAAAAACGAGAAAGTCCGAGAAACTGTCACAGCCCAGAAGACATGATGACTAAATGTGACGTGGGCTCCTGGGACAGAAAACCTTAGATCTGAATCCTGCATGGGCTTGAGTTAATAACAATGTATCTGCATTGGCTCATTAATTGTAACGAATGTGCCAGACTGATGTAAGATGGTAAAAAATAGGGGAAGCCAGGTGTGGGATATATGGAACGATTTTGTACTGTCTTCATTATTTTTCTGCAAATCTAAAACTATTCTAACATAAAACGATTCTCAAAAAAAAATAACGAAGCTAAAATCAGAAGAATGGTGGTATTACTTTCCATTTGGAATTTTAGAGGAAAAACCACAAACTTTCTGTTTGCAGGGCGGGGACTAGAGTGAGGTGAGTAAGGTGGTTGCCTTGCGGTGCAAAACTTAGAGGGGCCCCAAAAGGTTCTATTATTATTATCCCCATTTTACAGCTATGGAAACTGAGGCTGAGGGGAAATAGCTTGTGCTGGGCCCCACAGGGAGGCAGAGCTGTTCACACACAACCTTGGGCTCTGACCTAAAATCGGGGTCCCAAGCCAACCCTAAAGTTTGAAGGCCAGCACCGTGCAGCTCAAATAAGTCGACTTTGCCAAGAGTCGTGTCTTTGCTCCTGGGGTCCCAGCCAGGGAGGGGCCCCTGCTCATGGGACACACAAGCACCCCCTGGGCCTCTCCAGCAAGATCGTCCCTCATCTCTTGTCATTTGGCTGCTGAGTGGCTTTAATGGGGGGTTTTGAGCTGAGGGATGTCCGACTGGGGACCTGGGCTGCTTCTCCAGGCCTTCTGGGAGGCCTGCGCCCTGCCCTTGGCCCCTGCCTTCCATCTGGCTCAGCTGACCATGAACACTGGAAATGGCCCACCCGAGGGAATCCGGCTGGAATCTGGCTTGTGGTCAGGCCATGGCTGTAGAAGCCACAGGAAACGCACACAGCTGCCCACGGGCTGTCAGAGCCGGCGGCCGGAAGCTTGTAATCAGGCTGATTTCCAGCAGGAAGCTCTGGCTCCCTTGACCACAGGAGGGGAGGGCAGTGTGGCCTGAGTCTCCTTGGGCCTCGCTCAAGGGTCCAGCCGCCTTTTGGGGCCTCTCCCCGGATGCCCCCCAGAACCTTCTGGTTCCGTGTGTCCCAAATGGACCCAACTGCCTTTCCTCAAAATGTGCTCCTTGCTCCACGGCCTTGTTTCTGGGTTATCCGCCTCTCCTCCTGCCCTGAGCCACAGGCGCAGCCCAAGCATTCACTGAGCGCCGACTGCACGCTGAGACACTTTCGGGCAGCTCCTCACCGGCCCCTCCTGATGAGGCTGCTCTTGTTATTGTCCCACTTACAGAGGAGGAAACGGAGGTTCCGAGGGTTTATTTGGCATCCTGTAGGCAGGGGCAGATTCTGGAACCCACGCGGGGCCAGCCCCAGCCTCTCCCCCCATCGTCAGGCTCCAGTCCCTCCTCTGACACCCTCCATGGCTCCCTGTGGTGCCCTCTATGGTAAGTGAAGCCCTGCTGGGTCACCACGGAGACCCCTGAACACAAAACCCAGCCTCTTGGGTCAGACCCAGGCCCTGCCCCTAGTCCACCACTTGCCTCTCAGCCTGTTTCCCCACTGTGAACTGGACCCACTGAACTGAGGACTGGACCAACGCCGGCCTCTGCCTCTTCAGGTTGTGGTACAGATGAACACAATGCACTGGGCACTCAGTAATGCAACTGTCACCCTCAATAGCAGTCCAAAGGGCAGGGACTTGAGATGGGGTGTCCCAGGCAACCCCAACTCCCTTCCCACAGGATCTCATGGCTGGCACCCAGCCCAGAAGAGCCTGAGGCCATAATTTGGCAGAAAAACCCACCTCTCTTCTGGGAAACCGAAACTGAAAGTCAGCAGTCCTCTGCCTGCAGATGCCCCATTAAGAGCCTCCAGGTCAGGAAACTGTCTGGAACTTGTCATTGGTCAGGACAGCTCCTATGCTAATAAGGGGGCAGCCCCTAACTCCTGCCCAAGCTCTCTACATCCAGGGGCAGATCTGGGTGGCACCCACTGTTTATGACTATTGTCCTGTGCCCATGGATGAGCACCTGAGGAAGCCGGCCCTGGGGGACCACCAGCTGCTGAGGTGGCTGGGGATCACGCTGCTCCTGGTGGTGGCGGGGGGTGGTGTGCTTGTGGCCATGATCATCTTCGCTGTCAGGGCCAACACTGAGGCCTGCAGGGACGGTCTCCAAGCAGTGCAGGAGTGTCGCAACGTCACCCACGTTCTGGACCACCAGCTAAGCCGGGCCCAGGAAGTCTTACGGGGGGCCGAGGCCCAGGCCGCCACCTGCAATCAGACTGTGGTAAGCCACTGCAACTCCTAGAGAGGGCCCTGTGCTCGGGGGCCCCAGGGTCTAGGTGGAGATCGACATAGCCCTTGAAACTGCCCCCAGGCCCCCATATCAGGGGCCTGAATTTCCCCACCAAGGTTTGGGGACCTCTAAACTCTCCCTGGGGCTGGTGTGGGCAGGGCCTTAAAACTCCCCAGGGCACCCAAATCAGGGGCCTCAGTATCCCCACTAGGATGTGGGAGAATCTTCAAATTCCAGGGCACTGGCACGGGGGAGCCAGAAACTCCCCAGGGCACCAGGCTTGGGGGAGTAGAAATCTCTCTCAGGGTTGGGAGGGGCCCTCACCAGGCCCTGAAGAAGGAATGGGCTTGTGATACTTCCCCTACATCCCCGAGCGACTTTGAACCTTTCACATGGGTCTTGATATGGGGAACCTTGAAACTCCCACTGGACATCTAACTTGGGCTCAGAAATCTCCCTGTGTTCTGTGTTTGGGGGTCAGGGAGGCCTCAAAATCTTCTTGGGCAATAGCCCAGGGGATCTGGAAATTTGTCCTAGGGTTTGGGCATGGGGAGCCTCTGAACTCCCATGTGAGGGGCCTTAAAACTCCCATTTTGAGGATCACACCCTTCTCGGTGGGCCTGGGAGGGTGGGAGGTTGTGGCCATTCTTCAAGGTAGGAGTCTGAGGTGCAGAAAGGGAAATCTGAAAGGGGTTTAGACCTGAGCTCCTGGGATCTCAGGGCCTGGGGAGGCGGTCCAGGGCCCAGGGACAGCAGCCGACCCCCAGGAACAGAACTCCAGTGTCCGACCGACCGTCCGTACGTCCCGTCCCGCCTGTGTCCCACCCCCCACCCCCCCACCCCCCCCATCTCCGTCTCAGGTGACCCTGAGGGCTTCCCTGGAGATGGAGAAGGCTCACAGCCGGGAGCAGCTGGCGCGAGCGCTGCAGCTTGAGGGTGAGAACCCAAGGCCAGATTTCCATGGTGGGGGTGGGGGTGGTCCCAGGGTTGGGGTCGCGAGAGACGGACGGGGCCAGAATCCAGAGGAGGGTGTGAAGGAGCACACCAGGTTTCCAAGGGGAGGCTGGGTAGGGGTGGGGCTGGGGTGGGGCCAGGTGGGGCGTGGCCACCACATAGACACGCCCCCTGGTTCTGTCTCTAGAGGAGATGTCGGCTCTGAGGCAGCAGCTGCAGAACGCCCTGGCGGAGGCGGAGCGACTACGGTCCGAGACCACCCCCCCCCCGGGCACGCCCCTTTCACCCTACCCGAGCCAGGACCCCCTGTGTTCCGAAAACCCCCATCGCGCAGGGGGCGAAGTTTGAGTCCAAGCCTTGTCCCTCGTGCACACAGCCGTGGGTGGCCACTGTCACTCTCCTCCCCAGTGACTCGGGGGGGGGGCTGGAGGGGAGATCCCGAGGGGGTGGCAGACCCAGAGCTGGGGGAGCCAGGCCCGCCAGCTGCCTGAGTCGTCCCCTCTCTACCCTAGAAAATGGAATGATGATGCCTCAGGCGGGAACAACGACTCCGCCAGCTCCCTGAACGGCCTCAGCCCCTTGGTGGTCGCTGTGCTGCTGCTCCTAGGCCTCCAGGCTCTGCTGCGCTGAGATCCCAGGAAGCGGCCCTAAGCAGAGGGCGGCCTGGGGAGAAGAAAGCTGAGGAGGGGAGGGAGGGCGTCGGGGAGGGCCAGGGTCTGGAGAGGTGGCCTGCCTGCAGGGTGGAGGGCTAGGTGCAGGGGAGAGGGTCTTGGGAAGGATGAGAGAGCTCAGTGGGGAGGGAGGGGGCCCTGGGGCAGGGCGCCCGTGTTCTGTCTGCCCCGAGTCTGCCCTAAGTCCCTCTTATGATGTCTCTGAGGTCACAATCTGGATTGGTCCGGTTCCCTCTCTGCCTCCACCTTGGAGGCTTCCCTGACCTGGCAGTTCTGAGGGGCCACGCTGCAGCACTGTTGAGGGGGAGGGAGGGGGGACCCAAGTAGCAGTGGGGGTCTGTGGTGCATCGCTAGGGGGACCATGGGGCAACCTTGGGGGGTGAGGAAGCAGCAGAATTGGCCCAGGGCTGCCTCCCCCACCCCCCAGAGCTGGGCAGGGCATAGTGTGGGGGCACCTGCCTCTTGTTGTCACGGTTTCTGGAAGGTCACTTTGTTCTGGGGTCTTTGGGCTCCAAAAAAGTAAACACCCCTTTTCGGGGGAAAGACTTTACTCTGAAGTTCCTGGAGTGTCATTATGTCACCCTCAAGCATCTGGGGCCTGCCCTTCGAGCAAGGGTGGATATCGTTGACGTCCATACCCAACCTTCCCTGATCCAGAATGTTCCCAGGCACCCAGCACCCCCCCCCCACCCAACTGCCTCCCAGGCCTTCTCCACTGGGATCATCTTAACAGACTCCATACCCTCATCAGCACTCCCTGCAGGCAGAGCGTTCTCCTCTCATCTCCTCACTGGCCTTCTCTTGACGCCCGTGGTTCCAGTGAGGAAACAGGCTGTGCCAAGGGACACGGAGGGACACCTCGTCCTGGCTCCCAAACTCCTCCCACAGAAAGTGCGGGGCTGGGATTCAAACCTGGATCTGCAGACACACACAGACCAGGCCTTTGTCACAATGTCCCTCCCTCCTCCATCCTGCAAACTCTTATTCATCCTGCAGTACCCAGCTCCGGGAAGCCCTCCTCCAGAGAATCTGTCTGCTTCTCCAGAATTGAGGGCTACCATCCCGATAGACCCCTCACCCACTTTCTTGGGTCCTCCCATACCCCATAATCCCTTCCTCCTCTGTTATCTTCCTGCCTTCAGCTTTCCTGGAATCCCAACTATTATTCAGGCAACTTCCTGTCCAGGGCACTAGGATTCCCAGAATTGTGCACTGCCCTCAGGTTCCACAGTCCCCAGCCCAGATGTGCAGGAGACCCCCCGTCCTTGGCTCCCACTGTCCTCCCAGGGTCCCCCACACACCATCCCTGCCACAGGCCCCTCTGGCTCTGGTCCCCTCACTTCCCCTGTTCACCCCGCTCTACCCTCCCTGACCATTTCTCTGCTCCCTGACCTTGTCAAGTTCCTTCCGGCCTCACAGCCCCGTGACCTGCTCCTCAGCCCACAGTTCTTGAGCAGGCTTTCCCAGCCTCAGCTCCCTTGCCCTTTGGGCTGGATTGTCCTCTGTGGGGGGGGGGGTGCCCTGGGCACTGCAGGGGGTTGAACAGCATCCCTGGTCTCCACCCACCAGCTACCAGTAGCACCCTCCACCCCAGGTTGTCACACCCAAAAATGCCTTCAGACCTGGCCAAGTGTCCCCAGGGGGCAGCATCGCTTCCGGTGAGGAACTCTGCTCTAGAGGGTGAGGTGTGGGCCCCCTCGTGTCAGAGTCCCCAGCTTGCTCAGTAGGAGCTCGTGGAGTCCTGTATAATGACCGCATCATTTCACCCCCCAACAGCCCCATCTAACTGCCAACACAAATAATCAATAATTATTCTATAGTAGAGAAGAGAGGAGAGTTTTATTCAAGCTAAACTGAGGACAGTGGCCCGGCAGGGAATCGCAGCCTTTGCGCGGGAAGAAAACGCTCCGGAGAAGAGTGGTTTTCAGCAGTTATATACCATCTCCAAACAAAGAGCCAGGCACCAAACATGACAGGGGTGCGTTCTTTCAAGGGTTAAGGAGCTGTTTTGGTTACAGATTACATGGACACATCGGGTCAACATGACCCTGGTGTCACGGGAAGAGAGACTTATCTTCAAAGATTACTGGCGTCACAAGAAGCGAGCCATCAATTCTTATCTTCAAAGTGTCCGGTCTTTACTGTCGGGTGATGATCAAAGCCGATGGACAAAGTGGGTTTGACAGGCCACAAGTCAGGCTTCTTTGGCTCAAATAAAATTCAGGCCAAATCAAGTTCAAAGCAGAATGGCTTCTCCATAGACTTCAGTATATAGAACTGCCTCATATTGTAACAGATGAGGAACTGAGGCCCAGGGAAGTGCCCGGGCTTGCTCAGGGTTCCTCAGCTGCTCAGGCAATTGAACCCTCTGCTTCCAGCAGGTTCCCTCGATTCCCAGGAAGCAAGCCTTCCCACCTGACAGCGGTGCCCCAACACGCCTTCACCATCCTCCACTCCCCACCCCAGTCTGGGCCACTGGGATGTCCCGAAACAGTGCTGCCCTCCACCCCAGCGCCGGGGCTGTGTTTTGCTGATGGAGGGGGGCATGTTTGCCCAATATTATGGATTCGACCTGTTCAATTTCTTCCCCCAAACCCCCACACGATGGCCCAGGTATAAACTTCTTCCTAAAAAATTCCCCTCTTCCTTCGCTGGCTGTGACCCGGCCAGGGGTTGAGTAGTCAGGACTGAAGGGTCCAGCAGGCCTGAGGAGGCTCCAGCCCCAGCAGGAATCTGGCAGTGACCAGCAGCTGCTGTGTGTCCCTGGCCTGAGACTTGGCCTCTCTGGGTTCTAGTTTCTTCATGTGGCTTGGGGAGGACACTGAGATTCTAGTTCACAGTGTTCGCCCAGCTCACGTTTACTGCACGACTACGGTGTGCCAGGCCCATGCATTGGCAGTGGGAACAAGGCAGATGCGGGCTTTGCTTTCCAGGGGCTCACCCAGTCTGATGGCGGAGGCAGCCTAGAATCAGTCAAACACATAAAATGTAAAGTTACAGCAGAGCTGAGAGAGCTGATCCAAAGGGGCCTGGGTTAGTGGGGAAGAGGGATGGTTCTGGAGGTGGAGCACACACCGGTGGGCTGGTGGAAAGAGCTGCTAAGGCACAGCTAGCTGGGCAAAGAGGGAGGAGAGGGCACTCAGGCAGAGGGAACGCCCATGCAAAGGCCCTGGGGTGAGAATGCACTTGCCAGAAGAGAATTGAGGAGGGCTGGGGGGAGGCAACAAGGAGGAAATGAGGCAAAGACATGATGGGGGGGCCTTGGGAGGGAAGGGGGAAGGGTAAGGAAGGGGGGCAAGGGTGGAGGGTGAGATAGAGGGGTAGGGATGAAAGGGGGGAAGTAGGGAGGAGGAAGAAGAGGAGGAAGGGGAAATGGACATGGAGGAGGGCGGGAGGAGATGAAGGGGGAGGAAGAGGACGGGGGGGGGGGGGGGGCCCCAAAGGGTAGACTGGCCTGGATCTGATTCACGTTGTAAGATCGCCCCCTGGTGGCCTAGTGGAGACCGGGCAGGGAGATGGGGCTGGTCCACCCTCAAGTCTACCCTCTGGCCCTCATAGCCAGTCACAGAAAGTGTGGCAGCCTGAGCCAGGCCAACTTCAGTAGGTCGAGTAGCCTCCCGTCTTTTAGCCCCAGTTTCTGCATGAACAGAACGGGGACCATATGCCGCTGGAACCTGGCGGAGCGCCCCTGTGCAGATGAGGGCTTTGCGCGGATGTGTTGATGTGATTCCCAGTAAGCCCTAAGCGGCAGGAGCTACAGCCATCCTCACTTCCCAGAGGGAGAAACTGAGGAAACTGAGGCTCAGAGGACAGCACGTGACATGCAGAGGCAGGACGGGCACCGAGGACCCCCGGTCCTGTCTCGGCTCGGGTAGCCTGGGCAGGCCCTGGCGGGGGTCCAGCCCCTCCCAACGGACTCGGGAAGCCACGGCCGGGAGGGGCGGAACTGTGGGTGTCCCTGGCGCCCCAAGGTGCCAATTAAATGCTCGTGGCCGTCTGGGGCCAGAGCTGCGGAGGGCGGCATGACCCAGCTGGGGCCGGAGCCGGGGCGCGCATGGCGGGCGCTCGCCCTGTGCGGGGCCGCCGTGTTCCTGGCGGCGGCGGCGGCCGGCTCGGCCCTGCTGGCCTGGAATCTGGCCGCCTCGGCCTCCCGGGGGCCTCGCTGCCCGGAGCCGGGGGCCAACGCCACGGCGCCGCCCGGGACCCCGGCGCCCGAGGTCGAGGAGCTGCGGCGCCGGCTGGCAGAGGCTGCCCAGCGCGAGGAGGCCCTGGCCGGGCAGCTGGACCAGGCCGAGGGCGTCCGTCTGGAGCTGGAGGAAGCGCTGAGGGCCTGTGAGGGCCGCCAGGTAGGTAGGCGGGGTGGGGGCTGGGGCATCCAGAATGTGGGGGAGAGGGCCCGCACCCACATCCCCACCGTTCCCCCCTGTGCCTCGGCTTACCGAATTCTTCAATTGAGGGAGGTGAATAAGAATAGCACCATAGGGCCGGCCCTGTGGCTTGGTGGGTAAGTGCGTGCGCTGCGATGCTGGTGGCCCGGGTTCGGATCCTGGGTGCGCATCGAGGCACCACTTCTCCGTCCATCCTGAGGCCGAGTCCCACATACAGCAGCTGGAGGGATGTGCAGCTATGACATACAGCTGTCTGCTGGGGCTTTGGGGGGAAAAAATAAAATAAATAAAATCTTTAAAAAAAAAAAAAGAATAGCACCATAATCCCTTCCCACTCCTACAACGTCAGTTCACCCTTGAGTCTACCTTCTGACCAAGAAGGCCCCACTGTCCTCTGCTATTTGCCGGATAGACGGTGGTGGCTAGGGAGGCCCCAGACCCCTGAGCCCACCTGGGGAGGCCCTGTGCTAACCCTCCCCCAAGGTTCCCATTCACACCACCACCACCACCACCCCCAGCCTGTTCCAGCAGCCCTATTTCCAGAGAGGGACATTCATGTCACCTGTAATTAGGAGGCTAAAGTTGGCCTCTTGGGGAGGTACCGGTCAGATCTTCCCTTTTCCTCTGGCCACCCCCTTCAAACTCTTTCTTAACCCTTCCCAGCCCTGAACCTAGCAGAAGAACCATCTTCCAAGTCCCAACCATTCACGTTTATTGAGGAACTACTGTGTACCGGGCCCAGCAGAGGTTTGGCAGTGTGTGAATTTTAAAAATCAAAACAGATCCCTCCCTCTTTCCTGCCTGCCTAAGGGAAGGGCCTGGAGCAGCCGAGGCTAAGAGCAGCTTGCCCTGGGTTCAAATTCTGGCTCCGCCCCTCACCGGAAGATGCTCTGAGGAGGCCAGGCCAGTTGCTCTGTAGAATGTCTCACCTAGGTGACAAAGCATACCCCAAAAACCCAGTCATTGTCAACCACCAAATTAGTTTGCGTTGGTTTGAAAGCCTGGTTAGCGCGTCTGGATTTAGCCGGGACTGGAGCCGGAGTGGGACCGCAGCCCGAAACCATTTCCACGTCCCGGTGGTTTGGGGTTGGGGACGTGGAGAGACCTCCTACTACGCAGGCAGCTGTCACCACTCGGTACCCCAGACTTCAGCGGCCACTTCTGTGTTTCACAACTACAGGACCTCAAAGGTCATTCTAAGTAAAGCCCAGGGGACCCCAGGGTCGTCTCAATCTCCCCTAGAAAGGGCGGGGCCAATTTACTCCTTCTCCCCTCCCCTGTTCCCTGCACTCCATAGAGCCTGCTTCAGACCCAACTGATGACACTGAAGACTGAGATGGACGAGGCCAAGGCACAGGGGACCCAGATGGGTGTCGAGAACGGGGAGCTCACAGGTGTGTTGGGGCGCAAGGGGGTGGGCAGGGCTTGAGGTGGGAGGAACCTAGAAGGTTCCTACGCACAGGTGCAAACATAATGCAAATGACATGCAGATAAACGCGAAAACTTATGAAAGAAAAGCACATAACATGCAAAGGCCATGCAAACATCACAAAAACAATACAAACGCAACAAATATGCAAACGCCACGTAAACGACTCGGAAAAGCAACGCAAACCTATGAACAGCTATGCAAATGACCCACAAAAGTTATGCAAATATTATGCGCGGGGCGCGCTCCGGGTGTCCCGCCTGACCCCGCCTCCTGCGCCCGCAGAAGCCCTGGTGCGCTGGGAAGCGGCGGCCACGGAGTCTGCGCGGCGGCTGGACGAGGCGCAGCGGCGCGCACGCGCAGCCGAGGCCCAGGGCGAAGCCTGCGCGGCCCGGGAGGCGGCGCTACGCGAGCGCGTGTGAGTGAGGGGCGGGCCCGAGGGGGGGAACGGGCGGGGTGTGCGGCCAATGGCTGCGCAAGGCTTCGTTCTTTCCGCCAATCATCACTTGGGGATGGTAGCGAGAGGTGGGAAGGGTCGCTGGGGAGGGAGGAGGGGGCGAGGCCGTGTGGGCGGGGCCTTGGGGAGAGGAGTGAGGGGAGGGTCGGAGTGATGGTCCTGGAGTTGGAACCTAGAGGTGGCGAGGGGGTGGGCTACCTGGGGGAGAGAATCCCCAGGTTGGGGTCGGCACTCTGGAGGCATGGGTCCCTAGGATCGGGCGCATGTGGGGGGGTCCAGGGGAGGGGCGGGGAGCGGAAGAGAAGGGTGCAAGGAAAAGAGAGTACGACGGACGGGCGGGGTGAGGTCTGGAGGCAGAGCTTCTGGGGAAGAGGCTGGGAGACCCTGGGAAGGGGTCTCGGGAATGGCTGGAGTTGGAGAAGGGATGGGGGATCCTGGAGGATGGAGATCTCTGGGGAGTAGGGTTCCTAGGAAGGGCGGAATAGTGCTGGGGGATCCCTGGAGACGGGGGTTCAGGTGCTGACGGGCCCCTCCCCCCTTCCCGGCAGTAAAGCCCTGGAAGCCGAAACGGGGCCCCAGCGCAGAGTGCTACACCCCCGGCCCCGCTCGGGGTCCCGACCCCGGCCCAGCCCCCGCTCGCGCTCTCGCCCCGGATCCTCGGGGGGCTGCCGGCGGCCCGCGCGGCGCGCACGAGGGTGAATCAGCTCCCAGCAAGATGGGGGCTCGAGGCCAGGAGGACAGACACTGTAGAGGCCCAGCGGGGACACGTATAGAGGTGCCCACGCTGGATGAGATGCCCAGTCGACACCCATCAACGCTCATCTTTAGACCCAGGAGCCGCTCTGAACGAAAACTGTGCAGAAAGGAGACTCGACCCTCTCTCCCCGACCACCTAGTGCCTATTCTACAGATGGGGAAACCGAGGTCTGTTTGGTCACACAGTGTGATAGTGCTGATCTGGGACTTAAGTCCCCTCTAAGGACAGTGTTGCCCTCATCCCGCAGACATGAGGACTTAGGGTCCAACCTAAGGAAACACTGATGTTTCCTCCAGTGACCTGGAAGGGTCACTTCTCTTCTCCGGACCTCAGGTTACCTTGGGTGTAAAATGAATGATTGGAATCATGTTTAGAGAGCTGGCCTATCCTTGACACCAAAAACTGACAAAGATGGCACAATGGGAAAACTACAGACCCCTCTTCCTGTGAGGAGGGTAGGAAACTCCCAAATGGAATTTTAGCAAAGAAAACCAAGTAACACATTTTTTAAATACACCACAACAAAGGGGACTTATGCCTGAGATGCCAGGATGGTTCCATATTTGGAAGTCTGTTAATAAAATTCACCATACTAATGGGTTAAATGAGAAAAGTTCTGGAAAAAAACATCAAAATCAGGGCCAAGGTGAGGATGACCACTGTCAAGTGTTTAATATTGTTCTGGAGGTAGTAGCCAATGCAATTAGACAAGAAGAAGAAATAAAAGCTATGAATATTAGAAAAGAAGAAGGGGATTTATAGGTTGACTCATATGAAAACACTCTTTATATAGGTCAAAAATAATTGAAATATAGACAATTTCATATGGCTCAATTTCACATTATTTTTGTCTTTTACCTTTGTATTTGACACAACTTCAGACTTACAGAAAAATTGGAAGATTAGTACAAAGAATTCCTGGATACCCTTCACCTAGATTCCACAAATGTTAACTTTTACTGCCTTTGCTTTATCCATCTCTCTCTCTCTGTCTCTAAACCACTATGAAAATCTTGCAGAAGTGATATCTCTTTACCCATAAATACTTGGGTATGCATTTCCATAGAACAAGAACATTCTCTTACATAATCGTGGTACAATTATGAAAATCAGGAAATGGACATTGATAAAGCACTGTTATCTAATCTACAGACCTCAGTCAGATTTTGCCAATTGTTCTGACAATGTCCTTTATAACAAGAGAATCTCTTGTTATAAGTCTCTTTCATCTCCTTTAATCTGGAACATCTCTCAATCTGTCTTTGCCTTTTATGACATTGGCATTTTTTAAAAGCCCAGACCAGTTATTTTGTGGAGTCAGAGTTTAGGTTTGCGTGATGTTTCCTCATGATTAATTTCAGGTTGGCATTTGGGGCAGGAATGCCTCAGAAGTGATTCAGTCTAATAATATTATCTTCTGGTGGTATGATTTTATACATATAAAACGCAGGAGAATTAACTGAAACTTTCCTGTACATAAACAACCAGCTAGAAAATCCTTCGGAAGAAAAGAAAGATCCTATTTCAGATAGTTATTTATTCTTGGGAATAAACTAATTTCCTTATTATGTAAGAAGCTCTTATAAATTAATTTTCTAAAAACAATTCAATAGAAGAATGAGCAAAGAACATCGATAGCCAGTTCATAGAAAAGTACAAAAAAGGTGCCCAGTCTCACTCCTGGAAAAGAAGTGCAAAATGAAACAACAACGTGGTATCACTTTCTACCCAATCATTTGGCAAAGATAAAAACAAAAACAAGGGCTGGCCCCGTGGCTTAGTGGTTAAGTGCACGCGCTCCGCTGCTGGCGGCCCGGGTTCAGATCCCGCGTGCGCACCGATGCACCACTTGTCCGGCCATGCTGAGGCCGCGTCCCACATACAGCAACTAGAAGGATGTGCAGCTATGACATACAACTATCTACTGGGGCTTTGGGGGGGAAAATAAATAAATAAAATCTTTAAAAAAAAAAAAAAAACAAGTTAAAAGTTTGTGCATACACTGTGTCAGCACTGCTGTGGGGAAATAAGCAATCCCACGTGGTGCTGGGGGTACTGCTCATTGGTACGCCCGCTGGAGAGGTCAATTTTCTAGAATCTCTCAAAATTAAAAAGACACATACTGTTTGGCCCATCAATTCCTCTTCCAACAATTCTTCTACAGCCGTATTTACATGCATACAGAATGATGGACTAAATGAACTGCACAGTACCGGGATGCAGCCTGGAACAGGAAAACACTTAGCAGGGAAATCCAATCATGTCTAGAATTTAGTTAGTAGTAAGGTACTAAGGTTAATTTCTTAGTGCTGACAGATGAACCATGGTATATGAGATGCTAACTACGGAAGAAGCTGGGTGAGGGCGGATCAGCGACTATCTGTAAATCTAAACTTATTTCTGCAACTTTTCTGTAAATCTAAAATTATTCCAAAATAAAAAGTTTACTTTTAAAAAGGAGACAGAGTGGGGGCGGGGGAGGAATGAGGAAATTATTACCACATTCTGGATAACTGCAAAAAATTGGAAACAACCTCAGTGTCCACTAACTGGAGACTGTTTAAATTAGTATCTGTCTATCCACACCATGGAATACTATACAACTGTTTAAAAGGCCAAAGCAGACCTTCTCCAAGACACATTAATATAAAAAGCAGGAAAGTGATAATTTGTGTACATATCTTAAAATGCGGGATGAGGGGAGACTTTATCCAAATCTCTTTGAAGGAAACCCTGGTCACAGCTGTGGCCTCTGGGGTGGGAATCAGGGGGCTGGGGGTTGGATGGGAGGCAGTCTTGTGTTCCTTTGTATCCTTTTTTGTAAAGTTTGCATTTTAAAAATGATGCACATGTATTACCATTAAAATAAATTAAAAGTTGTTTTGAAAAATCCCTAAGAGGCTGGTGTAGGGAGGGGAGTAGGAGCCCTTGGAACTCTGATCCCCCCTCAGCCAGTCCTACTCATTATCCTCCCACCAACTGGGGCTTGGAAGTGCCTGATCAGAGCCTTTACCTGGAAGGGGGCCCACCTGGAGGGGGAACTGAAGGCCCCCCCCTTCCGCCAAGGAGGAAGTGAGGCTGAGGGGAGGGATCCGGCCACCAGGAGTCGCCCCTGCCTGCAGACCTGGTTGTTGCCAGCTGACGGGTGAGAACTTGGGAGGGTGGGACCGTGGGTCTGAGACCCCCCAACCCTGGCATAAATCCAGAAGTGAGCAGCAAATGGCTTCTCCTTCTGGAATCATCTAGAGCTTGAGACCAAGAGAGAGCCTCGCCTTGTCTGGGGCCCCAGAGACTTAAGACCCCTCATGGTGCAGCTATGGGGTCCAAGGGCTGATCCACATAGAGGGCTGGGCTTAGGGCTGTAAATGGGACCTAAAACATGATCATTGTTATTCACTCATTCTGCTGTCTCCATCTTGGCCCTACCTGCCAGACTGTGAATTTCAACTCCAGGGATGGAGGGAAATGGGGAGCCATGGCAGGTGTGTGACCAGGAAGGGCACAGTCAGATCTGGTGTCAGAGAGGGAGGGCAGAGGCTGGGGGCTTTGAACCCCTGGGAGGCCACAGGACAGGGAGTAGGTAAGGACTGGGAGCTACTTGTGGAGAATAGGCCCAGGCCCCAGGCTGCCTTGAGGTTCCCCTGGCTGCCCAGGGGAGCAAACAGTACTCCCCAGTGGGACCTGCCTCCCGGGCCCCACTTGCATCCTACGCCACAGGACCAGCCTCCAGCATGCCCTTCTGTTCTGCCTTCCTCTCTCCACCTGTCTAATTATCACTCAGGGTCTCTGTCTATCTCTCTGTCTCTCTCTATCTCTATGTCTCCACCTCTGTTCCCAGCACACTCTGGCAGGTCCCTGCACTGGCCTCCCCTATTCATGGTCACCCAGGAGCCCCCCTCCCGTGGCTGCAGTGACACGAGTGGGGGACAGAAATGGGAAGCCCCAGTGCAGCTGTGGGTGAGGGGCACCTGGGACAGCAGCATTCTGACCTCGCGGGATCCCCAGTTCCAGGTAAGAAAGTCGGCCACCTTTTATCACCAGGCACACGAAGCCTCAGTGAGGACAGTCTGTCCCTCTTCAAAGGGCTCTCTTTGCCTTCTCTGGCACCTCCACAAGCACAAAAATTAATTTCACTTGAATTTAACCAAAAACCAAACACATTGACATAAAAGTGAAGGGTTTTCTGAACTTTGCTGAAATTTTTCTTCACCAGAAATATCACTTGCTCAAGGACCTACCTGAAGTTCTGTGAGAGGTTTTAAAAACCTCGTGTCTCCTTGAGAACTTCAGTCTCAGTTTTCAGAGAGTGACACAGAGTTGGCTTCCTAATGACAGCTTTCCCTTCTCTGCCCAAACAAACAAATAAAACCAAATTGAAACAGTTTAAAATCAAGGGCTGATTTTGTGATGACCCACCAGGGGAATTCAGAGGGATTCATGCACAAAATTTCCTGTGAACATGATAAATTGTTTTCAGGAAAAAACTGAACGCTCATATCAGGGCTGATGCATTTGACCTCATGTGAATCCAAGGACCAGTCAGCCGCTCGCCTCCTCCCTCTGGAATTTTCTGGCCAGGGATGTAGGCAGACTGTGTTCAGAAAGTCTGTTTTTAGGGCCGGCCCCGTGGCTTAGTGGTTAAGTGCGCGCGCTCTGCTGCTGGCGGCCCGGGGTTCGGATCCCGGGTGCGCACCGACGCACCGCTCCTCCGGCCATGCTGAGGCCGCGTCCCACATACAGCAACTAGAAGGATGTGCAGCTGTGACATGCAACTATCTACTGGGGCTTTGGGGGAAAAATAAATAAATAAAATCTTAAAAAAAAAAAAAAGCCGGTTTTAAAAAATTTAAAAAACGCCGGCCGGGGGGGTCAATGGAAACAACCTCTTTGGAGGACAAATTGGTGACCACTTTAGACAGCAGAAACCGAGGCTCAGAGAGAGGAAGTCACTTGTCCAGGGTCACACAGCGGTAGGTGGCACGGCTGGAACTTACCTCCAGGGCCCTCAACTGTAAGCATGTGCTCGCTCTGCCTACGTGGCCCCATTAAGGCAGATGGAAGATGTCCTCCTCCCACGCTGCTCCTGGGACTCTGAGTGGGCCTGGCCAACCCAGCGAAATCGCTGGTTGGGCACCACTTGCAGCCCCCAACCCACCTCCCCCCACTAGCCACTGGGAAGGGTCCGGAATCAGGAATCACCGGGTAGTTGCAAAGGCCAAAGTTCAGACAGGGGTTTCCTGCCCACCCCTGGGAACTTCCTCCTTCCCGGCCCAACCCCCGCCTCCTTGATGAACACCACCCTGGAGGACCCCTCCCCGCGGTCACTGCCCCCCACTCCATTACCCTGGCCGATGGGGGGATGGGTCCCCTGCTGCAGCCTTCACCCTGCTGTGCCCCGCGTAGTCAGTGGGCGGCAATTGTGTCATTGTCACTCATCCAGGGTCCAGCCTCCTTTCAAGCTCCCTGCCCCTTTCCCCTGGGCCCCATCCCTCCCTCCTGCCAACCTTGACCCTGTGGGGCTAAGGACTGGGTCCTGCTCTGTCTCTGAGGACTGAGGGCCCCTCTCCGCCGGGCCGACACTTCCTGTGGCGCTTGGGCGTCACCCGGCATGGAGGGCTTCCCTGGAGCTCCTGGCTCAGGGGGGATGGGCAGGAGGGCACACCCAGAATCCTTTGCTTCTTGGTCCCCAAATCCCCTCCATGCCCACCTAGGGCTGACCCACAGTGAGACTCAACCCCCACCTATCCGGCATTTCCCATTCAGCATCTCACAGAGCCCCCAAATAAAGCTGTGAGCAGGAAGTGATAGTAATAATAACAGCAAGTCCTTTCTCAAAGCCCCTCCCTGGCCCTGCGACCTAGACACCATGCATACCCATCCCACAGAGGGGGAAACTGAGGCACAGACAGGAGAAGCCCTTCACTAGAGCTCACACGGGCCGAGCCGGCTCTCCCCGGCTCCAAGGCCATTGCTGCTGGTGATGCTGCTCCCAGAGCACTTATTAAGCACATACGTGAGTGGGGCATTGAGTAGGATGACAGCTTGGGGATCCTGCACCCCTGCCACCCACAGATCAGCCCTCCGGGAAGCCCTCACAGCGTGCCCCGCCCTGGGCCACCTGCTTAGCATGGCTTGGCTCATGTAACCAGCACTGCCTGGGAGCGGGCACACATCTGTAGCCAGCCCGCCAGGAGGTGAGTCCAGCTTTGTGAACTAACAGCGTGAGACCCAGGGGCCGTCCCTTCTCTTTGGGCCTGTTTCCTCCTCCACACGACGGGACGAGGACGTGAGATAATATACAGCAAGTACTGAGAACAGCACCTGGCACAGAGCAAGGGCAGGGGAGAAACTGAGGCTCAGAGAGGCCAAGGAAGCCAACTCACCCCGCAGGCACCCCACCCAGTGTTAATCAGAGGCCTGGCTGTGCCTCGTGCCCCCATCCTTCACAGCCCGGGTGGGAGTGTTGTGATAACCCACAACCCCCGTTTCCTCCCGGCCAGGAAGGAGCCAGGCAGAGGAAGTATTAAGAGGAGTAATATAAACACCCCCGGCGGGGGCCAGGCGGGGCAGACGAGCCACTGAGCAGCGCGGGCACCCAGCCGCAGGCTCCGGGAGCAGATGGGGCTGGCGATGGAGCGCGGGGGGCCCTACTCGCGGGCGGGGGGCAGCCCAAGAGGCTGCTGGTACTACCTGCGCTACTTTTTCCTCTTCGTCTCGCTCATCCAGGCCCTCATCATCCTGGGCCTCGTCCTCTTCATGGTCTACGGCAACGCGCACGTGAGCACCGAGTCCAACCTCCAGGCCACCGAGCGCCGGGCCGAGAGCCTGTACAGCCAGGTCGTGGGGCTCACGGCCACCCAGGCCAACCTGTCCAAGGAGCTCAACATCACCACCAGCGCCAGGGACACCCTGATGCAGAGGCTGATGACCGGCCGTCGCGACCTGGACCGAATCAACGCCAGCTTCCGCCAGTGCCAGGCCGACCTGGTAAGGCCTCGGGCCGGACCCTCACCTGGGGCCCCGGGCAGGGCACAGCACCTCTCTGAGCTTCAGCTCCCTCATCCCTGAGATGGGGATGGCCCAGACCCTACGTTTGCCATGAGGAGTCCCTGTAGATAAGCAATGCATGTTTTGTAGAGTAAGTATATCTCATGCAATATTTGGGATATACTGATCCTAAAAAAAACTATTCATTGTCTATCTGGAATTCAAGTTTAACTGGGCATCCTGTCTGTTAACAGACCTGGGCCCTGACTTCACATGTGTCAGGCGTCCAGAATGTCCCAGCACGTACTAGCTGCCAGTAAGAACCGGCTAAATAAAAACTCAGAGCATTTGGTTCTTACTCAGTAATAATAAGTATGAACGGCTCATATTTGCCGTACGCTGGGCATCTGCTTCAGAAACATTATCTCATCATTGACTCCCAGGGGGCAGGGAGAAGCTGTAAACATTTTGCACACAGGGACATGGAGGCCTGAGAGAGGAGGCAGCTTTCTCAAGGGGATAGACACAGGCAGCCCCGCGTCTTGCGGAGACGGGCACCCCTCACACCCCCAGCTCCTGCCAAAGTCACTCAACAGTCGCCTGTGTTCTCACACACGCGGTTCCTCTGGGAGGTCCTGCTGCCAAGAGACACTGAGGAGAGGGGGCTCTCCTCAGGCCTCGGCTGGGATGGGGTGAGAGATGGGGGGCAGGAGGAGAGAAGGCTGGGCGGGGGCAGCCTCGGTTTCTCCCAGAGGAGGTGACCTGGCTGGGTGGGGCAGGGGGCAGTGGGAAGGAAAGGTCTCTTCTGGGCTTCAGACCACCCAGCCCCACGTCACTGGGCAGGAAGGATGTGCACGGCCCCCCTCAGACCTGCCCAGGGAAGGGCTGTGTCTCCCCTCTCAGACTCTCAGGGCAGAGCAGGTCCCTGCAGGCCCCCAGGACAGGGTGGGTCTCCCTTATGCCCCCAAAATTGGGTGAGTCCTCTCTCAGACCCCCAGGGCAAGGCAGGTCCTCTCAGATCCCCAGGACAGGGTGGGCCCCCCTTATGCCCCCAAAATGGGATGAGTCCCCTCTCAGACCAGGACAGGGCAGGGCAGGTCCCCACAGGCCCCAGAACAGGGCAGGTCCCCCTCAGATCCCCAAAGAGGACCATGTACCCCTAAGGCCTCCCCCCGGCCAGAGTGAGCCCTCAGGTTTCTCAGTCCTGGGAATTGGCCCATCAGGATCTTCCAGGACACGCAAGGCCATCCGGCCCAGGAGCCGTTAGGAATTCCAGGATCATAAAGTTTAGACACACACACACACGCATCCCAGAATCCTGTACTCCCCCTTCACAGAATATTAGAAATCTAAGAATCTGGATCTTTATAACTTTAAAATTTGAAAACCATAGCTTTTTTTCCCCTTCGAGTTCACAAATTCCTCTGGGCTAGAGCCTCTCAGGGTTTTCTCCACCGACCCTGGGGCTCCTCAGGTTCCGGGCTGCACACCGCCCCCCCGGAGGGGCGCTGATGCTGGGGAGTAACCCTGTGTGTCTGATGGTAGCAGGTGAATCTTGGTCTTTGCCCAGTTCTGGCGGTGCTAAGAAACACTATTTTTCTTAACTTCTCTGCAATAGTAACTATATTTCTGGCCTTGAGACCCAGGAAGAGAAAGGAGAGTTTAACACAGTGATTGTTTTGGGGGTCTGCCCCAACCTACCTGTGTCAGGGTGGCAGAAGCAGCCTCCTGGGACCCCCTTTGGTCACTTCCTCCAACTAGAAGGACACCTCTTCCGCATCATGTTGGGATCCATCTCACTTTGTCTACATCTGCAGATCTTCCTCTTCTGTGGCTGAGACTTTTGAAAGCAGAAGTCACTGGAACTTCCAGAGCTGTTTCTGGCCTCCCCCAACCCCAGGGCATTAGCACAGACAGGGCCAGCTTCCAAAGGAGGAAGGATGAGGAGCGGCAGAAAGGCAGACCCTTTGCTCTCTTCATATCTGTGGTTGTTCTATTTCTGCGGAGGGTTCTGTTCCAAAGTTTGGAAGGCACAGCCTTTGTTGTATTGTAAAAACTGTACAACTTCGATGAGATATAATTCATGTGCCATAGAACTAACCCATTTAAAGTGCACAGTTCAATAATTTTTAGTACTTTCACAGAGTTGTGCAACCATCATCACAATTAATCTTAGAACATTTCTATCACCCTAAAAGGAAACCCCTTGCCAATTAGCAGTCACTACCCCTCTGCCCGTCCTCGGCCCTCGGCAACCACTAATCTGCTTTCTGTTTCTGTGCGTTTGCTTCCTCTAGATGTTTCATCTAAGTAGAATCATAAACAATGTGGTCTTCTGCGTCTGTCTGGCTTCTCTCACTCAGCGTGATATTTTCAAGATTCATCCACGTTGTAGCGTGTGTCAGAGCTTCGTTCCTGTTTATGGCCGAATAATATTCCAGTGTGTGGATGGACTGCATTTTGTCCATTCATCTAGTTGATGGACACTTGAATTGTTTTCGCATTTTGATGACTGTGATTAGTGCTGCTATGAACATTTGTGTGCAAGTTTTCGAGTGGACATATGCTTCCATTTCTCTTGGGTCTATCCCTGGGAACAGAATTGCTGGGTCATATTGTTATTCTATGTTTAACTTGTTGAGGAACCGACAGACTGTTCTCCACAGCGGCTGACCCATGTTTGCTTTCTCACCAGTACTATCTGAGAATTCTGTTTCTCCACATCCTCGCCGACACTGGTCACTGTCCGTTCTCGTTCTGTCTTACTTATAGCCACACTAATGGTTGTGAGGTGGTGTCTCACTGTGACTTGCACTTGCTGGTGACCAGTGACAGTGAACATCTTTGCACATGCTTGTTGACCATTTGTATATCTTCTTTGGAGAAATGTCTATTCAGATGCTTTGCCCATTTTGCAATTGGGTTGTCTTTTTACTATTGATTTGTGAGAATTTACTTTCATATATTCTGGATACTAGTCCCATCATCAGATATATGATTTGCAAATATTTTTTTCCATCTATGGGTTGTCTTTTCCCTTTCTTTTCTTTTCTTTTTTTTTTTTTTTATGAGGAAGATCAGCCCTGTGCTAACATCTGCCAATCCTCCTCTTTTTGCTGAGGAAGACTGGCCCTGGGCTAACATCCATGCCCATCTTCCTCCACTTTATATGGGATGCCACCACAGCATGGCCTTACAAGTGGTGCGTTGGTGCGCACCCGGGATCCGAAACTGCGAACCCCGGGGTGCCACAGCGGAGCGCACGCAGTTAACTGCTTGCACCACCGGGCTGGCCCCTGTCTTTTCCCTTTCTTGATGGTGTCCTTTGAAGCACAAAAGTTTTTAATTTTGATGAAATCCAATTTCTCTCTTTTTCTTTGGTTGCTTGTACTTTTGATGTCGTATCCAAGAAACCAATCCACGGTCATGCAGAGCTAACACCTATGTTTTCTTCTAAAGAGTTACAGTTTTAGCTCTTATATTTCAGTCTTTGATACATTTTGAGCTAATGTTTGTATCTGGTGTGAGGTAGGGGTCATTCCTTAGCATGTGGAGATCCACCTGTGCCAGCACCATTTGCTGAAAAGACTCTTATTTCCCCATGGGATGATCTTGGCACTGTGTTAGTTTGCTAGGGCTGCTTTAACAAAGTACCACAAATCAGGTGGCTTAAACAACATAAATTTATTTTCGCACACACACAAGATCACGATGTTGTCAGGGTTGGTTCCTTCTAGGGTCATGAAGGAAGGATCTGTTTCAGCCCTCTCTCCTTGGCTTGTAGCTGGCAGTCTTCTCTCTTTGTCTTCACGTTGTCTTCCCTCTATGCAGGTCCGTGTCCAAATTTCCTCTTAAAACGAGTCATATTGGATCAGGGCCCATCCATATGACCTCATTTTACCTTAGTCACCTCTTTTAAAGTCTGTCTCCAAATACAGTCACATTCGGAGGGCTTAGGACTTCAACATATGAATTTGAGGGGGGACACAATTCAGCTCATAATAGCATCCTTGTCAAAAATTAGTTGACCATAAATGTGAATTAACGTTTTCAAGGTTCATCCAAGTTATAGCATGTATCAGTGCTCCTTTCCTTTTTGTTGCCAAAAAGTATTAGCTGTAACAACTTCTGAAAATCAGACCAGCACCCCCTATAAAGGAGCAGCGCCCTCGTGACTAGGCCAACCCAGGCCACGGGGTGGAGGATCTGGGGCCCCAGCCGGGAGGGTCTTGACAGCCGGGGGGCAGGGGGACCCACAGGGGCCAGCCTTTGAGCTCTGTCCCGCGTCCCATCCGAACAGATGATCTACATGAGCAACCAGCGGTACATGGCCGCCATCATCGTGAGTGAGAAGCAATGTCAGGAGCAACTCAAGGAAACTAACAAGAGCTGTGATGGTGAGTGGCACGGGCAGTGCAGAGTGGGGGGTGGACTCCCTGCCCAGTCTCCTGGTAGCCCCCAACCTGCCTGAGTCTCATTGTCTTGTACCTGTAGCCTTGTTTCTCACGCTGAACCAGAAGATCAAGACGCTGGAGGTGGAGCTGGCAAAGGAGAAGGTGGTGTGCACCAAGGACAAGGAGGCGCTGACGCTGAGCAAGCGGACGGCGGAGCAGCAGCTGGTCGAGTGCGGCAGGGCCCAGGAGCAGCAGCAGCAGGAGCGGCAGCTGGCCGAGGATCGGCTGCAGAAGGTGCAGGCCCTCTGCCTCCCACTGGACAAGGACAAGCTTGAAACGGAACTGCGCAACCTCTGGAGAGACTCCATCATCCCGCGCACCCTTGACAACCTGGGCTACAGCCTGTACCATCCCATCAGCTCGGAGGTGGCCTCCATCCGGCGGAGCTGCGACCACATGCCCACCCTCATGAGCGCCAAGGTGGAGGAGCTGGCCCGGAGCCTGCGGGCCGGCATCGACCGCGTGGCCCGCGAGAACTCGGACCTCCAGCGCCAGAAGCTGGAGGCTGAGCGGGGCCTGCGGGCCAGCCAGGAGGCCAAGGAGAAGGCGGAGAGGGAGGCTCAGGCCCGGGAGGCCAAGCTCCAGGCCGAGTGCGCCCGGCAGACCCAGCTCGTGCTGGAGGAGAAGGCGGTGCTGCGGAAGGAGCGGGACAGCCTGGCCAAGCTCCTGGAGGAGAAGAAGTGGGAGGTGGAGCAGCTCAAGATGCAGCTGGCCGGCAGCAACTCGGCCCTGGACACCTGCATCAAGGCCAAGGTGGGCGGGGGCCTCGCACTCGGGCCATCTCGGGCCCGGGGCCAGAGACCAAGTCGGCAGCGAGGCTGACCTTGGGTTGAACCTGGGTTTGAGATCAGCCTCCCCATCTAGGGTGGGTTAGTGAGGGCTCACTCACGAGTTTCACTGCCGTTAGGATTGGGGCGGCCTTGGAAGGGGGAACAGCGTTGAGAAAGGGTGTAGAGTTAAGACGGGAGTCTGAGGTGGGTGGCGGTGGGGTCCAGGGTTGAGTGAGGAGCAGTCTAGAGTTTCAGTTGCTTTAGGCTCAGGCTGAGTTGAAGCATTGAGGGTGGATTTAGCATTGAGGCGGGGATCACACGTAGGTGGCTATCGAGTCCAGAGCTGCTTTTGGATTGTGGTTAGATATCAACGCAGGACTCGATCGGCATTAAGGTTGGTGAAGTTTGAGTGGGGAATGACATTGAGAAAGGGTTAAGGATTGGGGTTGAGTTTAGGGCAGCTGGAGGGCCTCAGAACTGGTTTAGGGTTAGGACTAGGGACTCACCGCAGGTTGGTGTCAGGGTTAGGATGTGTTTGAGCTCCGCTGAAGGAGCAGGGGCAATGGTTAGGATAGGGAGTGGCAGTGGGCTAAGGCAGGTCTTGAGGAAGCTTGAGGTAAACGCAGAACTTGTGCTTCTGGCTGGGTCAAGGTGAGTTCTCGGGGACTGCTGTGTTTAGAGCGGGTCTGGATTAAGGGTAGGGCTCCATCTACGATGTCATTAGTCAGAGTTGGGGTTGAGTTTGGCGTTTGGATTGTGAGAAAAGGTTAAAAGTTGGGCCAGGAGTCACATGCAGGGTGGTGGTGGGGCACAGGGCTGGGTGTCGGTGGCTCTGGGATTGGGTTGAGTTGAAGCATTGAAACTGGAGTTGAGGGCCGGCCCCGTGGCTTAGTGGTTAAGTGCGTGCACTCTGCTGCTGGCAGCCCGGGTTCAGATCCCGGGCGCGCACTGACACACCGCTTCTCCGGCCACGCTGAGGCCGCGTCCCACATACAGCAACTAGAAGAATGTGCAGCTATGACATAAAACTATCTACTGGGGATTTGGGGGGGAAAAATAAATAAAATCTTTAAAAAAAAAAAAAAAAAGAATTTACTCTATAAAAAATTTCTATAAAAAAAACATTAAAAAAAAAAAAAAAAAAAAAAATATTTTTTTTTTTTTTTTTTTTTTTTTTTTTTTTTTTTTTTTTTTTTTTTTTTTTTTTTTTTTTTTTTTTTTTTTTTTTTTTTTTCTATAAAAAAAAAAAGAAACTGGAGTTGAAGCTTAGGTGGGTACAGATGGCTGGTGGGTCTACAGATGATTGGAAGTTTGGGGCCAAGAGTGGATTTAGGATTTCACGAGCATTAGGATTGGGATTGGTCTTGGCCACAGGTTAGGAGCTGAGGTTGGTTGGGTTTAGGGTGGCTTGTTGGGGTTGAGTTGGGCTGGTGTTGGGATATATTTGAGGTGAAGCATTAGGTGACCCTGGGTTAGGGTGGGGTATATTGGGGTTGGGGTGAGGGTCAAGGCTGGGTCTAGAGTAGAAGCTGTGTGGATATTGATCTCAGGGTGGGGCTGGGTTGGCATTCCATTTCAGGTAGAGGTTGGGGTCTGAGGTTGAGTTGAGGTTGCACATGGCATTGGGAAGGTGTTTGTGGGTGGCCGTGGTGGAGCCCAGGGCTGGGGCTGGGTTATGGGGTTGGGGGGTGGAGTTTTCATGGCAGCCGGGTCTAGAGAACGGCTTGGGGCCAAAGATCTAAAGTTGTGGTCAGATCAGGTTTGTCATTGGGATTGGGTTTAGATCAGGGTTTGATTCCCAGGAACGTTCTGTTTCCACGTCGGGATCAGATTTTAGGTGACAGAGATTAGAACTGGCTTTGAATTTCAGGTTTGGGGGGATTAGCTCAGGGGTGTCTGACGGATGGCATTGAGGATCGAGGCTCACAGAGCGGGGCGCCTTCAGTCTGGAGGGGGCTGGGCTGGTTGGATGGACTCAGTGGGGGTCATGGCTTGGGGTCAGGTAGCACTGAGGCTATAATGGAGACCGAGGCAGGCCAGCCTTGCAGAGTAGGGTCTCTGGGGGGCTGCCAAGGGAAGCAGTCCCTGGAGTCCCCATCATTTGAGAGCAGGTGGGTGCAGGTGATCGCACATCATCATCTGGTGTGCGCTTCTCCACGGGGATCTGTTTTTCTGCCCTGGAAGGACCTCAGACCCAGGGCTCCAGGGGCACAGAGGGGCAGAAGGCTCGCTGGCACTCTGGTTCAGGGGTCCTGGCTTCTGCCAACCTGTCTCTACCGTTCTTCCCACAGTCGCAGCCAATACCCGTGCCGAGACCTGTGGGCCCTGCCCCCAACCCCCAGCCCATCGGTGAGTGTCAGAGGGCAGAGCCAGGCGGTGGGGAGGTCCTTCTACCTGTAGCCCATCCCAGCCCCGTCGCCCGCCCTGTCTGCCCCCACCTCAGTAGGCGGGGGCTACTGAGGCAGTTCGTCGGGCCTGACCCCTCCCTCTCTCGGCAGACCCAGCTGGCCTGGAGGAATTCAAGAGGAGGATCCTGGAGTCCCAGCGGCCCTCTATAGGCAGCGCTGCAGCCAGGTGAGGCACTGGGCAGGCTGAGACGTTCAGTCTCAGGACTTTGGACAAGGCTGGGGAGAGGATTAGGGGTGGAGGAAGACTCATCTCACACTTGCTGCTTCCTTAATTAAGCGCCTGCTGTATACCAGGTCCTATGCCAGGCCCTGGGGACACAGCAGTGACCAAGACACACACAGTTCTATTCATGAAATTCCCTGAGTAGTGGGCAAGAGAGACAATGAAGGAGCCATGATAAGAAGAGTGACCAAGGGCCTACAATTATTAGGCACTTACTGTGAGCTCAACACCATTCTAAGCTCTCTGCTCTATTAACTCATTTAATCCTCACAACTCTAATCAGTGGGTAAGCTGCTGTTATCCCCGCTTGCCAGATGAGGAAAGCGAGGCACAGAGAGGGTGTGCATCCCGCCCCAGGTAACCCAGCCAGGGAGTGGCAGAGCTGGGACAGGAACCCAGGCAATTGGATTCCAGACAGGCAAGGGAGGGCCTCAGTGAAGAGGGGAACTTTAAGCTGGAAAATAGGCAGGAGACGGCCTGGGGGAGGGCAGCAGGAACAGGGGTCCAAGCAGCAAAGAACAGCCAGGGCAAAGGCCCAGAGGCCGGACTAAGGTGGGGGAGGGTGGCTGGAGTGGAGGGGGGAAGGAGGGAGAGCAGCGTCGCAGAGTGACCCGGGCTTCTCACTCCACCCTCTGAGCCTCACCTTCTACCTCTACAAAAACAAGGGGCCTCTGAAACCAAGGGCATGGAGATGCTGTGCCCGCCGTGAAGTGCTGTCCACGCATGGCCGGAGCACGGGCCAGGGGCCTCAGCGGGAGCATCAGAGGTGCCTGGCACACACTCTGGTCATGGCTTGATGCCTGTGCCCCCCTCACCACCCCTGGGGCCCAGTCATCCGTTGGACCCTGTGCGTCACAGGGAAGGTGACCTCACGGCCCCGAGAACACCCTGTGCCCCCTCCAGGGTTGCAGCCACGCTCGCCTGCAGGACCACGCCGCTGACCTAGGAGTCTGGGACAGGCATTCCCGTTGTCATTTAGGACCTGAGGCTCAGGGAGGCACCCAGGATTTTAAGTCAGATCCCTCTGACCCCAAAGCCTGTGCCTTCAACGGCTTTGCCAGCAAACTATTGTCAGCCTGGCTCCATTTCACCCTCAGGGTGCTAAGCGCATGCCTCGGGGCCAGAGTCCCAGAGGTCTGTCGCCAGCTTCCCAGGGCCCTCCACACCAGCCCCGTGTGCGCTGCGCCTCCTCTTACATAGCCCTCTGGAGGGGGCTCACCCCCTTGCAGAGCTGGTCCCCTCGCTCTGGATGGCTCTGCCTGGGGGGAATCCCTCAGCTCCTGCGGCCTGCAGAGAGGGAAGCGGGAGGGCGGAGAGAAGACCCTGGTCCGAGCAAACAGTTTTCCTTTCTCCATCTTGGCCTGAAGCCATCATGGCAAGGAAGGAGGTTCTATTATTATCCCCTTTCTCAGAGAAGGAAACTGAGGCCCCAGGGAAGTGATCAGCCGGGTAGTGCGTCAGCGAGTCAGAGCCGGAGCCAGGCTCCCGGCCCAGGTCTGTCTGGGCCCAGCTGAGAACAGGGAAGCTCTAGACATTGTTTACCCCGAATGACGTCCCTGTGAGAGAACAATGCTGCACTTGGGCCTGGCCCTCCCACCTCTCAGCAGGCTCTCGGGAGGGCCCTGCTGGGCCCGCTGGGCTCCGGCCTTGATTTGCTTTCCCCCTAGAGAGGGCCAGGGACAAGCAGCCCCAGGCATCAGCTCTGGGCTCGAGTCCCGGCTCGGCAGCCCTCACTGGGCAACCCTGGGTCTTAGAATCCTAACATCTGCGTTTTGGATGCGCCCAGGAGGGGCCAGATCCGAGGTCAGCATCAAATCACTTAGCCCGTGATCGGGAGATGGACTCCTTCTCCTCTTACTCCTTCTGGGCCTCGAGGAAGGCCGCGCTGCTGCAGACTCACCCTGCCGCCCCCGGACTCCGAAGCTCCTGTGCTCACAAAGCTTGGGCAGACCCAGGGCCAGCATCAGCCGGGCTCCAGCCCAGGGTCTTGCTTTTTTATTTTCTGCTGAGGAAGATTGGCCCTGAGCTAATATCCGTGCCCATCTTCCTCTATTTTGTATATGGGATGCTGCCACAGCGTGGCTTGATTAGCGGTGTGTAGGTCCGTGCCCAGGATCCAAACTTGCGAACCCTGGGCTGCCGAAGCAGAGCATGCGCACTTAACCACCATGCCACCATGCCGGCTCTGGGTCTTGCTTTTTAATTGAACATTTTTAAGTCATTTTCTCTTGGCAGCGCACCAGCTTTCCTTTACTGGGTAAGACTGCGTGTTCTTTGGCAATCAATTTAAATTAAAAAAAACCACACAGTTGATGTGAAGACAAATGTTAAGTGAATACTGGTTTGGGGCCGTGTGACTGGAGGTGGCAAAAGTCACAACTCAGAGGCTGAAGGCGGGAGTCCAGGCCCGGCTCTGAGCTGGCTCACAGAGTGCCGCTCAGCTGAGTGCCATCCCGCTTACGGTTCGTGTGTTCATTCAACCCGTATTTATGGAGCAGCTGCCAGGTGCTGAGGACATGGAGGAATGGGGCACAGAAACCTGCACCCTCGTGGGGCTCAGTCTAGTGGGGGAGACGATGATGGACCAGATGAAAGAGCTGTTATTTGGCCCCTTGCTGATGGGAGAGACAGAAAAGGGACGAGGGAGTATAAAGAGGTTGGAATTTTCCACCAGGGGCCAGGGCAGGCTTCCCTGCCCCAAGGGAGGGGGATATTTGAGCAGAAACCTAAAGGAGGTGAAGGAGGAGCCACGGGGCAGATCCTGGGAAGCGTGCACCAGGCAGAGAGCACAGCCTGTGCAAAGGCCCTGAGGCAGGCCCACTCAGTGAGTTTGAGTGAGAAGGCTGGTGTGGCTGGAGCAGAGTAATCTAGGGGGAGAGTTCGAGGAGATGAGGTCAGGGAGGCAACAGGGGCAGATCAGCCAGGGCCTTGTGGCTATGAGCAGAGGAGGACACGGCCTGACTCCTATTTACAGGTGCCCTCTGGTCGCTACTGGGGGTGAAGGTGGGAGATAGGGACCAGGGTGAAGGCAACTGCACTGGTCAGGGCAGGCCATGCTGGGGCCTTAGGAGCCACCATCTCTGAACACTGCCCAGGGCTGACCCTCCCTGCAGGCGGGTGGGCAATGGGAGTGAAGAATGCATGTCAGGGCTGGCCCAGAGCCAGGGGAAGCCTGCCCCAGGACAGAGGGGGGGGGGGGGGGTGCCAGAGTCAGGAACGTGAGCTGGCTCGGGCCCCAGGGAAGAGGCAGGGAAGGAAGGGAGGGGCCAGCGGAGGTGGGACTTGCCAGAGGCCCCCCACCTCCCCCACCAGGAAGCAGCCTCCGCGCCAACCGCTGACCCCTCACAAGAACCTTTGCCAGGCCAAAGAGGGGGAAGGGCATTCCAGACAGCGGGGTGCCTCCTGCAAAGGGGGGCATGGGGAGAGGCAAAGGATGGTTCTTGGAATTTCCAAGGACTTTGGCAGGGTTTGAGTCCCTGAGGGGAGGTCCGGTGGGGGCAGACTGGGTGGAGCCTTGAACGCCAGATAGAAAGGTTCTGGCTTGGTCCTCGGCGCACTGGGGAGCCACGGAGAGCATGTGAGTAGGGGCAGGCTCATTAGAAAAGCACTCCTGGGAATGAGTGAGGGGCCAGCCCTAGGTCAGTTCTGTGTAAACAAAAGAGGGAGACTGAGGCCCTGCCTGGGGCTGGGGGGTCCAGGGGCTTTGGGGCAAACTCCCAGGATCTCCAGGGCCTTAGGGAGCAAAGGAGAGTCAGACAGACTGCAGCAGAGGTCTGGAGCACAGGAGGTGGCCTCTCTGAACCTCAGTCTCTTCATCTGTATAATGAGGGGGTACCATCTCAGTCCACCGTCCCAGAGAGGCTCGACAAGGAGAAGTCTAAGGGGAGATTGAACCCTGAAGGAGCCTTAGGGTTCTAGCAGGCAAGAAGGGGCCCGGGGTAGGAGGAGGCGTGGGCGACGTTTGTCCTTCCGTCTGTCTGGCTGACTATTGTATTCCTGTCTCCTTCCTGCCCTAGTGGCTGAGGAGGCCCCAGGCCTCGAGGACCGCGGGGTGGCCCGACTCGCCTGTGCGCAGACACGGTGCAGCGAGAGCGACGCGCCAAGGCCCCCGCAGCCGACCTCCCGCACACCCACCAAAGCGGGCGCCCTCGGCCCGCGCCCCGCGCTCGTCCTCCCTGCAGCCCCCGTACTCGCCCGCAGTCCCTCCCCCAGGCCCGGAGGACGTCCCAGACGGCGCAGTGACGTCACACACACTTTCTGCCCGACCCTCCCCAACGTTGCACGTCCACGCACCGGCCGCGCACCCCCGGCCTTCCACCCTTGTTCTGCACAGCCCTGAGCCCCGCCGCCCCTCTCTGCTTCCTATCTCCCGCCCCGACGCTTCCTCACCCCTGCACCGGGCCGGGAAGTGAGAGCAGGAAGACGGTCACCTCCGCCCCCTGAGAGTTTCCAGGCCCCCCAGCCAGGGAGCGTCTAGTCCAAGGGCTCCCTCATAGCCCGGAGGACAGCGGCCCCTTCACTCCCTTCCAGCCCGGCCTGTGGCCCGTATAAATGTTAGTGGCACTAAATAAACGTTATCGAACCCCTTCGAAGGCTCCAGCGTCGTGATTTCTGCTTTGAAAAGGCACGACATGGCCGTGAGCAAGAAAAGACTAGAAAGAAGATGAAAGCCAGGGAACCCTCTCCCAGCATCCCAGGCCAGAAGACCCTTCAACCTGAAACAAACGCAGGGGGACACCAGCTTCCCCCCATATGTGGAGAGCAATGGAAAAATAATTGATAAGCAGATATTAAAAAAGCAGTTTCTGAAAAAGCAGCTCACCCATCTGTGGCTGTGGTTGGTCTAGGTTTGCAAAGATCCCTCCAGGAACTGCCAGCAGTCGCCGAGGCACCGCGGCCCCCACGAACTGCAGGAACTCCTCCTTGCCAAAATGATTCCAGGAACAAGATGGCAAAAGTCTCAGGACGTTTGTTCTGTTTTGTGTTTGTGGCAACATGGGCTGTGAGAAAGGGCTCCACTTTGGGAGCACTTCAACTCGCCTAGCACTAAGTGAGCAGGTAGCCGGGGAAAACACATGAGAGGAATGTGGAGAAATCACATTGCACCCAGCAGGTGGGGGAAAAAAGTTAAAAAACCATAATACCTACTGCTGGTGAAGATCTAGAGAAAAGGACACTTTCCTACAGGACTGGTACACATGCAAATCTCATCATGGCCCTTCTGGAAATTGGTTTGGTGATATTTAATAAAAGTAAAGATGCACAAACCCTGTGACTCAGCAACCCCATTCCTGGGACTTTATTCTTGAAAAGAAAAACTCCAGGAAACAAAGCAAATTGCCATCTGTGGAAAAATGGCCAAATAATTGTCTAGAATCTCAGCTTGTCCCCCTCTCACCTTGATTCCCTCCCAGCCCATCCCCTGGGACCCTGGACGGAGAGGGAATGAGTCACAAGGAGCCAGGGCTGGCAACACCACGCTTAGGGCCGGCTAGTCAGGAGGGACAAAGGAGCGATATTTCCTGGATACAGAAATTCGGGCAAGAGACCACCGCTGCAGGAAACACTCGGCTGGGGCCCCACCAAGCCAGGGCAGGGGGGTCAGCCAGGCCAGGCCACCCAGACAGGCCGGTCTGGAGGCCCCAAGGAAGCAGGGATGTCCCTGACCCTGAGCCTACTGCCTGGGCAGCCCAGAGTCCTGGGAGGACAGTGACACCGGCCAGGCCCAGCAACCACAGGAGGCCTGATGTTGGGTTCTGGAGCCAGACGTCCCCGGCTTCAAATATTGGCTCAGTCGATCTCAGACTCCATTTTCTCATCCGAGAAATGGGTGTCTTAATAATCATTCTAAACTTCCCAGACACACGGGCACAGGTCTCTGACCCTGGGTCCCTCTCTCCCACCCAGAGCATCCCAGGATATCACCCTTCCAACCGGCCCCCATGCCCGGTCCTGGCTCAACCCTGCAACACCTGGACCTCAGCCTCTACCTCCAGTATGGCCCCTGTGCTGGTCCAGAGGGATCTTCCCATCACGGGATCTGACCACATCCCTCTCCTGCTCACACACCCTCTGTGGCTCCCCATTACCCTGGGAACAAAGTCTAGTTCCTCAGCTCTCTTGTGCCCACTCCTCCCGTGCACAGTACAGCCCTTGCCTCCAGCCATCTGGGAGGTCTAACTCTCTGACTGAAGACACTGACTCTTCATCTATGCTGTGCCCTTAGACTAGAATGCCTTTTTCTTGCTTGACAAACTCTTCTTCCTCCAAGGCCCAGCCCCAGAGATCCCTCCACCAGGCAGCCCTCCTGGATGCCCCAGCTCCCTCCCCCGGAGGGCCCCCCAGCTCCATCTCTCCCTCTTTCCAGCCCTGGCCCTGTAGCTCTGGCTTCCCCAGGCTGGTGGCTCCCCCTGGGGGCCAGGCAGGGACGGAGCACCAGTCAGGGAGCAATGGCAGACCACTCCTTGACTCTGTGGTCCAGCCACCTGGTGAGGTTCTGACTCTGGGGATTTCCTGTTACCTCTATAAATAACCCCCATGGCTGCTTCCCACAAACCACCTCACCCTTCTTGGGAAAAGGGACTGTAGCCAAGGACCTCCATCCAGCTGTGTGCCAGGGCCCGCCACCACTGGGGAGGTGGGCGGGGCCCAGCATCCCGGACACCCCAAGAGCATCTCCCTCCCCACCCAGACCCTGCTCACCCCTCTTGGGAGCCCTCTGGACCCACCACCACACCCACGTTATTGCTTTTCCTCTCAGGGCATCAGTTTGTTCTCCTGCAAAATGGAGTAATGGTGACATCCCTGGACTCTGCTCACAGGGTGATCCTTTCCCTCCAGGAGCCCCCCCATTCAGGGGCGACCCCAGCTGTTGAACAAGCAAACAAATCAACAAATAGTGACATGTTGCAACGAAGTCCGTGAAGAAACGGGGCGGGCATGGGGCCCTAGACACCTCCCAGCCTGGGACCTGAGGGCTTGTGCCTTCAGCCCCTGGACGTGCAGACCTTTTCCTGATTCTGGAAAAGATCCTGACCCTAACGGGAGACTCAGTTTCCGCCTCTGGCAAGGGGAGTTAACCCTGCACGCGCCGCCAGGGGGGTGCGGAAGGTGGACGGCTGGGAGCCCGGGGAGCCCAGCCTGGACTCGCTGCCAGCAGCTCCTGCGCTAGAACATGGCGCCCTCTGCTGGTTCATCGCTCTCACATTGCACACACCCCCACCCCCCACCCCCCAAGTCTCAGAACCCGGCTCTCCAGCCCTTCCCCTCCTCCTCCACCCCATCTCCCTCCTCTTCCCTCACTTTCTCCGCTCTAGCCCCGCGGCCCCTCGCTGCTCCTTGAGCACACCATGATGCTCCCTCCTCAGGGCCTTTGCAGGTGCTGTGTCTTCCACCTGGGACGCTCTCGCCAGCCTCCTCCACCTGGTTTCTGTCTTCTCACCAGTCCCACGTCAGCACCAACGCCACCTCTGCAGGGCAGCCTGCCCTCACGTCCCTGACCAGGTCAGGTCTCCTCATCATAAGTTGGCGCAACAGCCACCAGACTCGGCGTAAGGAGCTGTGTCTCTTCTTGAAGGAGGGCAGGAGTGATGGCTGCTTGTCCCCCTCTGTTCCCAGCACCCACACACAAGGCCCACGGGGAACTCAAATCAGAGCCGAACAGACCTGTGCAAATCCCAAAGCTGGGGACCTCCAAACTGTAACAAAACATCCACAGCACTGTGCATGGTGTGCACCATTCTAGAAGGGGCCTGATAAACACTCGCTGAGTGAGTGAGTGCATGAATGACTAAGCTTGGGGAGAAAGCAGGGCCCTGGGATTTTGTGAGTCACCTTCTTTCTTTTCTGTTTGGTGAGGAAGATTGGCCCTGACCTAGCATCTGTGCTCACCTTCCTCTGTTTTTTTCGTATGTGGGACGCTGCCTCAGCATGGCTTGATGAGTGGTGCGTAGGTCCACGTCTGGGATCTGAACCTGTGAACCCTGGGCCATGGAAGTGGAGCACACGAACTTAACCGCTATGCCACTGGGCCGGCCCTGAGAGTCACTTTTCAGATACAAGAGGCAAAGTTTCCAGATTAATACTTAAAAAAGAATGACAATTTGTAGAGTAATAAACACACAATTTATGTATAAAATACAAGACAAAAACATATATTTTATAGGCGCATCCACAAGAATGCACATGCAGAGAAAGTTCTGGAAGAACACAGTTAAGCTGTGACCCCCGAGGAGGGGGTGTTTAAACATTTCCGGATCACCTGAGTTTTTCACTTTCCTTTGGCATTTGCAAAATAAATTAAACACTATGAAACAAAGACCCCTGAGACCCTCCTCTGACCTCTGTCCCACCCCTCCACTTCCCCAGCATCAGGCGCCCAAAGGGACTGCCGTTCAGCCCCACTCCAGGACCTGAAGGCCCAACAAGGCCCCAAGAGGGCATCTGGCTAGCTGTAGCTTGGTCACCGCCAGCAACAGGGGCCTCACCGTTTGGAGGTCAAGTTCTTCCCGGGCTGGGGGTAGGGGGTGACCCACCTGGCCTAAGCTGTTCCCAGATGCCTCAAGGCTTCTGGGCGTTCACCAGCCTGGGTCCGAGCTTCACCAGCCCCTTACTTCCCCACACAAAAGTCCCGGAAGATCATGTCCAGAATCTCCTCGGTGCCCCCTCCACCGGTGAGACGAGCCAGGTGGCCCCGGGCAACCCGCAACGCCTCGGCCGCCAGCGCTAGATCTGTTGCTTGCTTGTAGTGGCCGAGGGCGTCCAGGCAGCCCTGGAGGTGATGCTGGTGCCTCGTGCGCGTCAGCAGCGGTGGGCCTGTGGATGGGTCCCCACATCTGGAAGGGACAAAGAACGGTCTCTCTCAACCTTTGCAACCACTACTGGAAAGGGCAGGGATGTGCCCAAAGCCGGGGCCCAGCAGCCCCCGGCACTTGGGTTGAGGGAGGCTGTGAGCCAGGGGAGAAGGGTGCTCACACTTCAGCCAGCTCCTTCCTCAGCGCCTCCAGGAGGCCGTCCAGCCCCTCCCCGCTCAGGCAGGACAGCAGCAAGTAGGGGGGCAGGTCAGGACTCGGGTCTGGGCCCCCAGGGGGCAGCAGGTCGGACTTGTTCAGCACCAGCAGGAGGCGCTGGCTGCTGCCATTGGGGCTGTGGGCTCCCGCAGGGCCGACAACCGTGTCCAGGAAGTTGCAGCTGGATGGAGAGGCCAGGTCAGAGGCGTCCAACACAGCCAGAATGAGGTCAGCCTGCTCCAGCCTGGGGAGGCAGGGAGAGCCAACTAAGCAGTGACCCCAAGGCTGGGCAATTAAGGGCACTGGGTGGGGCGGGGCTCGAGGGGTGGGGCGGAGACCGAACTCAAAGGGCTATCCTCCCCAAATCACCGAGTCCCCAAGGCTAAGGGAGCTTAGCAGCCTTTCCTCATTCGGGAAGAAAGAAAAATAAATGCAAGCGGGAGAAGCAGCAGAGGAAGGGCCCCGTCTCCCCGTCCGCCCACCTCTGGCGGGCGCGCCGCACGCCCTCCTGCTCCACCGGCCCCACGCCCTCGCGCAAGCCCGCCGTGTCGCTCAGCAGTGCCGGGAACCCGGCCAGGTCCACAGGGGCCTCCAGCACGTCGCGGGTGGTCCCTGGCTCCGGGGACACAATGGACACAGGTTTCCGGCCTGGGGTGAGGGGGGTCAGAGGGTGAAGGTGGAGTGGAGGCGAGAGAGCCCCTCCCCCCAGCTCCACGCCCTGACGGCACTGAGCTCGCATCCTCCCTGGCCTCTTCCCTACACCTGAACCACAGTTCCCCAGCTCTCGGCCGCGCCCCTGCCCACCTCCCACGCACTGAGCAAGTTCACCAGGCTGCTCTTGCCGGCGTTGGGGGGTCCCGCGACCACTACGTGCGCCCCTGAGCGGAGCCTCTGCCCGCGCCTGGCATCTCGAAGGTGTGCGCCCAGTGCCACCTCCAGCTCCCGCACTTCGCTGTCAGCTGTCGGTGGAGGAAAGCAGGAGGGAGTGAAGGGGCTTCTGGGGACCGAGATGTCCCCACCCTGCACTCCCAGGCGGACCCACCTCGCTCCAGGACGCCCTCCTCCAGGTTGTCATCCTCACCAAAGTCAATGTAGGCCTCCACATGGGCCAGAGCCTGGGGGAAGGGAGGTAGGTGGTGTAATCACCTAGGAACCCACCCCCCGCCCCGCAATTTGCCCAGGTCCAGCCCGACCTAAGGGGCCAGACTGGCGGCTCACAGACAAGAAGCTCTCACGCAGCGGATGCACAGGTGGGTGGGGTCTCTGAGACAAAGAACGGGCAAATGGAAGACTTACCTTAGTGAGGGTCTCGGCCCAGCCGCGGCAGAGGTGGCCCAGCTCCCCATCCAGCTGCCTCAGGGCCTGCCGCCGCTGCGCCTCGGTTTCCGCGTGGATCAGATCCGCTAGCCCTTCCACCTCGGTCAGACTCAGCTTCCCGTGGGCGAACGCCCGCCTGGTGAACTCGCCCGCCTCCGCCGGCCGCAGCCCTGGCACCCTGCCTGCGGGAGGGTCCCGGGCACTGAGCTGCCTCCACCCAGGCCTCTGGCAGCGCCAGACCGCAAACCCAGGGCTGTAGACTCACCCAGGGCCTGCAGGACGCCACTCACCACGGCCGGGCCTCCATGCACATGGAACTCTGCGCAGTCCTCACCCGTGAAACTTCGGGGGCCTCGTGTGGCAAGGAGATGAGAGTCAGGAGGAGGGCACAGCCTGGGCAAACGCCTGGAGGGGGGAAACTGGGTCCTGGGGGCTACAGGAGGTTCGGGATCTGGAGTTCCTCACCTGGGAACCAGAGCACCAGCGCGCGGTCCAACCGCTCCCCGGAGCGGGGGTCGCTGAGCAGGCGCAGGCAGGCGCTGCGGGACGGGGGCAAGTCCCGGGGCGCCGTGAGGCTCCGGAGGGCGTGGCCGCTGGCAGGGCCGCTGGTCCGGATCACGGCGACGCCACAGCGGCCTTGGCCGGAACTCAGCGCAAAGATAGTGGCCCCGGAGCCGGGGGCCGGGGCGCCGCTGCCCTGACGCGTGCCAGATCTGGGACTGGAGAGGAGGAGAGTCAGTACTCCGGGGATGACATGCCCACCTGCAGTGGCAGGTGGATCGAAGCCTCGACGGTCGGGAGATGCCCCAAGTGGAGGCTCTGCGGCTGGGACATGGACAGATTGGAGGGTCTGAGGCCCCAGGGTGCCTGGACGGAGGTCTCTGAAAGCAGAAGTTGACCCAGATGTGGGCTCTGCGGCAGGGGGATGGACAGATTGGGAATTGGAAGAAAACGAAAGGCGGCTCTGCCGCAGGAAAGTGGGCCCCCAGGCCCGAGGAAGGGTTTGGGGCCCAAGAAGCGCCCCACGCTGTCACATCCCTTTCCCCGGGTCGTCCCACCTGCGAGGCCCACGTGCCGCCCGGGCTACCAGGGTCCACCGCCTCCGCCACATGGATTCGCAACCAGCGACTCGCCTGCCCGCCCTGCCTGGGAGGCTTCAAGGCCGGGCAGGAGGCCCCGCCCACTCTGCGGCGTGACTGGTAAAGTGCTCAATGATTCTCGACTACCATTGGGCCCCTTAGAAGACGTACTGCCCACCCACTGAAGAGCTTCGTTTTTATTGGCTGATGCAGGAAAAGACGCAGGTGCTGAACGCGGGGGTGGGGGGCGTGCAACGAAATGGCGTCCCCTCGGCAACATTAGACCGAATTTTTAGGATCCTAGAGCGGCGGGGATCCGAGACACTGGAAACGACGGGTGGAAGGACAGTACTTGGCACAGGGCCGTGGGAATGACAGCGCGGCAAGGGTTCGAGTCCCGTAATTTCCATGTGGCCACTCCGTAGCCTTAGGCGAAGCAAGAGCATCTCAGGGGCCGGGAGGGATGAGTTCCGGGGGACCCACGCACTGGCCCTGGGAAAATCTTGTCCAAACTTCTGGGATTTCTACTCGTTTTCCCGGAACTCTCCAGCTTCTCTTCCCTCCCTACCTTTCCCTCTGGCCGTTCCCTCGGCAGCGGATACTCTTGATTTGACAAACTCATCCTCAGGGCCTAGCTGCAAGGTCCCCTCCACTAGGAAGCCTTCCTGGAACTCCAGCACAGCCCTCTCTCCCTTCTGGGCGTCCATGGCCCAGGCCTGCCCCTGCAGAGCTGAGTGTCCGGTCTGTCTCTGGCTTCCCGAAAACCAGAAAGGGGAGTCTCGGAGATTACTTTCGGGTTAACCCAGGACAGCGCAGGATCGCGGAACAATATGCTGATGGTGGAATTCCAGGCACTGGCTGGGCGGGGTCTCAGGGGGCGCTTTAGCACCGCGAATTCTCTGGTTCTCGGACGGAGCGGGCGGGCGGCGCACCTACAGTTTGGGAAGAATCGATCGGACAGGCTAGAGTTTTAATCCTTCTAGGCCCCGTCCTGCTCAATTTTTTCATCTGTAAAGGGGACGATGACATTAGCCATCTCCGAGGTGTTCCATCTGTCACAGGTACACATCAAACGCCTACTGTGTGCGCCTTCCTCGCTGGACTCTCAGTCTAACGGAGGAGGCTACTCAGGATGGTCAGGGGTCTGCGTGCCAAACAAAATACAGGACGCCTAGTTCAATGTGAATTTCACATAAACAACGAATCACGTTTTAGTGTATCTGTGTCCCATGTACTATTTGGGAAGTACTAAAAATTTATTCATTTATCTGAAATTCACATTTAACTGGGAGGACTGTATTTTTATTTGCTAAACTTGGCGACTCTATCAGGTCCTCTCTGAGGTCACCCTGAAGGGTGCAGGGGTTAAATGGAGGAAGAGGCGTTGAAGAGTGTCCTAGGCAGCTGAACTGTGTGTGCTAAGGTCCTGGGGCGGGACCTGCTATAGTTATCTATGCGCATCCCTGCTGTGGTGGTTGAAGTTATTGCTCCCCGGAATCTCGCCCAACCAGGCCCGCCCTCTCCCACGTCCTGCCGAAGTGAAATCACGCCCATCTCAGATTCCAAACCGCGCCTTTGTTAGATGGGGAAACTAAGGCGTAGAATCCAGGCCCGGGACGGGTGGGGACAAGGAGGACAATGCACCTTCGGTGCGGGCGGGGACTAGCACCAGAGAGCGAGGTGGGCGGGCGAGAACGAAACTCAGAAAACGACACGGGCGGAGTCGAGAACCCAAAAGCGACGTACGCGGGCCAAGAAGGGGAATCGAGGTTCGGCGCGGGCGGGGACGAGAAGCAGCGCTCGGGCACGCGGGGACGGCGGCCGGCGCGGGCGGGCGCGGCCTTTGTCTCCTCCTCCGGCGCGCGCCTTGGCTGCACCGGCCCCATGAGCCCGCGGCCCCCCGGCGCCCGGGCCGCTCACAGCCCCTGACCTGATTTGCCCTCGCCATGGCCGAAGCCGCCTCCGGTGCCGTTGGCACGTCCCTGGAGGGCGAGCGCGGCAAGAGGCCCCCGCCGGAGGGCGAGCCTGCAGCCCCGGCGTCCGGAGTTCTGGGTATGTGCAGCGGCTGGATCCTACAGGGTTGCAGGTGCCTGGGGTGCGCGCGGCGGCCGGACGGGGAGGGGGCTGGGGGTCAGCTGTCCCAGGCTTGGAGTCCAGTCCAGGAGCCGGATCCTCCAGGCACTGCGGCTGCGGCCAGGCGGGCGCGGCTGGGACGGTGCAGCGGGCCGGGGTCCCAGCGCAGACACACAGACACGCCCCTCCGAGAGCCCCGGCCCGGGGCTGAGCCCTGTCACCCCTGGGCTACGGGATCTCGGCCGGGCGGGAATGCGCTTGAGAGCCTCTCCGCAGAGGATATAGAATCGTATGGTCTTGGGTTCGAATCCCAGCTCGGCTGTGTGACCTTGGGCATGTGTCTTAAACGCTGTGGGCCTCAGTTTCCTCACCTGTGAAATGGGGTAAGAACCGCACCCACTTGTGAGGACGTGCTGACATAATGTGGTGAAGAGCTCAGGGCTGCTAGTGGGCGCCCTATCGATTGTGGTTTTGGGGTCACAGCTGGGCCTCAAGAATGAGTAAGATTTGTAAGGGAGGACCTGGGGGAAGGGCCTGGCTGGTGCAAGGACCAGGAGGGGAGGAAACAAGCCAGGCCAGAGATAGGAGGGCTTGAACGCCAGGGCGAGTGCCGAGGAGCTCTGGCGAGTGGGTGAGCAGGGAGGAGGGCTGGAAAGACCCAGACTGGAGGCTGGGCTCCTGGTCCAGGAGTGGCCTGACCCCGGCCTGTCTCGCCTGTCCCACAGATAAGCTTTTTGGGAAGCGGCTCCTGCAAGCGGGTCGATACCTGGTGTCCCACAAGGCATGGATGAAGACAGTGCCCACGGAGAACTGCGATGTGTTGATGATCTTCCCAGGTACCCGTGCATGTGTGCCCAGTGCCCAGACTGGGCTCCCCTGTGTGGGAGTCTGTAGGCGGCCTCAGAGCACTTGTGGCAAGATCCACTGGTCCCTGTGCCCCTTGGCAGACACGACCGATGACCACACACTGCTATGGCTGCTGAACCACATCCGCGTGGGCATCCCCGAGCTCATCGTGCAAGTCCGACACCACCGCCACACGCGTGCCTACGCCTTCTTCGTCACCGCCACGTATGAGAGGTGAGTCCCTGTCCCTGGTTTCTCGCTTACCCTGCCACCCAGCTCCCCGCCCTTCCAAACGCCTACTGCAAGGTCCGGCCGCCCTGCGTTTGTCCCAGGTGGCCACCAGGTGCACTATCCCCAGCTCCAGGATGGTGAGCCAGGGTCTCCCTGTTGATCCCACCTCCCTTGTCCTTCCCACAGCCTACTCCGAGGGGCCGATGAGCTGGGTCTGCGCAAGGCAGTGAAGGCCGAGTTTGGTGGGGGGACCCGCAGCTTCTCCTGCGAGGAGGACTTCATCTACGAGAATGTGGAGAGTGAGATGCGCTTCTTCACCTCCCAGGTGCGGCAGGCTCTGGCCCTCAGCGCGCATCCGTAGCCCATGCACTGCTGCTCCCTGTGCTCACGCCCTGTCCCCTGCAGGAGCGCCAGAGCATCATCCGCTTCTGGCTGCAGAACCTGCGAGCCAAGCAGGGCGAGGCACTGCACAATGTGCGCTTCCTAGAGGACCAGCCAATCAGTGAGTGAGGCGGGGCCCACCCTCCAATCACATGCGGGGAGTTGGGTGGGGCTCTTAGAGGATAGCCTATCAAGGCAGGAGGGCGGGGCCATATCAACCTATCAGGGGCTAATGAAGGGTTGGGCGGGGCCTGGAGATAGATTAACCAATGAGCTGGGGGGTGTGGCCCAAGCGAGGGGGTGGTGCTTATCCCCTGGGAGGCAGAGCCAAGAGAAATCCTTTTCTGGGTCTACGAAAAGGTAGGGGCAGGACCATGGACAGCACTCCATGTACTGTGTAGTGCGGCCCTGGGCCTCAGTTTCTCCTCCAGGAAACCAGCCGCTACAATCTCACTTTCTGATGCCAACTTTGCACCATTCCTCAGAAGTGTGGAACAATGAACTGAAGCCAAATGGCTTTATTTAAAAAACATGGTTCCCCAGGGCCGGCCCAGTGGCTCAGTGGTTAAGTCCGTGTGCTCCGCTGCAGCAGCCCGGGGTTCGAAGGTTTGGATCCCGGGCGCGCACCGACCCACCGCTTACTAAGCCATGCTGTGGCGGCATCCCATATAAAGTAGAGAAGCATGGGCACGGATGTTAGCCCAGGGCCACTCTTCCTCAAGAAAAAAGGGGAGGATTGGCAGATGTTAGCTCAGGGCTAGTCCTCCTGGCAAAAAGAGAAAAAGGTTCCCCACTGGGACCCCACCCTCCTAGGTTCCCTGCACCTTTCCCCGCCTGCCCTTGCACCTCCCAAATCCTGAAGAACCAGATATTGCATCCACCCAGAACTCCTCCCCTGGGAAGAGCCTCTGTGGGTTTAAGAGCAGGTGAAGAGCTGTGACTTGGGTTTCAGCCAAGGGGACTGGGAAGGCCAGGTACAATCAGAGGGGCGAGGGTCACCCATTCTTCTTCCCCAACAGTCCCTGAGCTGGTGGCCCGCGGGATCATCCAGCAGGTGTTCCCGGTCCATGAGCAGCGCATCCTGAACCGCCTCATGAAGTCATGGGTGCAGGCTGTGTGTGAAAACCAGCCTCTAGGTGTGGCCCAGGCTGGGGGGAGAGTGTGGGGTGGGTGGGAATCCCAGGAAGCAGGCAGGGCTGACTGGGACCCTCTGTCCCCCCCGCAGACGAGATCTGTGACTACTTTGGCGTGAAGATTGCCATGTACTTCGCCTGGCTGGGCTTCTACACGTCGGCAATGGTGTACCCAGCTGTCTTTGGCTCTGTCCTGTACACATTCACGGAGGCTGATCAGGTGCTGGGCATGGGCCAGGCAGGGGTGCGGTGCCCAAGACACCCTCCTCCATGGGCCAGCCTGGCCAACAGCTCAGCCCTCCTCTGCCACCTCCAGAAAAGCCGGGATGTATCCTGTGTGGTCTTTGCCCTCTTCAATGTGGTCTGGTCAACACTGTTCTTGGAAGAGTGGAAACGGAGGGGGGCGGAGCTGGCCTATAAGTGGGGAACACTGGACTCACCCGGGGAAGCTGTGGAGGAGCCACGACCCCAGTTCAGGGTCAGTCCGGAGGGGTCTGAATCCAAGGACTCCAAAAATAGGGTAAAGGAGAGAACACACTGGGCCGGGGGCACTGCAGGAGCCAAGACAGGGAGGCGTGAATTAGGGCTGCAGCATCAAAAAGGGTATGTCAAGTGGGGGCCTGTGTGCTCGGAGGGGGAGTGGGAAAACGGGATTGGAGAGACTGGGAAAGGGGCACTAGGTGGGGCACCGAGAGCAGAGGTGTGGCGGAGGGAAGTCGAGTTCGGAGGACTGAGCAGGCTGTGTGGGGCAGGGGCGGCCCGCTGGGTCTCACGCTGGGCCCGGCCCTGCCCTCTGCCAGGGCGTGCGCCGCATCAGCCCTGTGACGCGGGCCGAGGAGTTCTACTACCCGCCCTGGAAGCGGCTGCTGTTCCAGCTGCTCGTGAGCCTCCCCGTGTGCCTCACCTGCCTGGCCTGCGTGTTCCTGCTCATGCTCGGCTGCTTCCAGCTGCAGGTGACCGCCGGCCCCAGCCCCGGCCTTGGCCCTGACTTGGCGACCACCTGCCCAGGGCTGCACCGAGCAGAGCCCAGCTGCTGGGGTGCCCATGAACCCCCTGCCCCCGCAGGAGCTGGTGTTGAGTGTGAAAGGGCTGCCCCGCCTCGCCCGCTTCCTGCCCAAGGTCGTGCTGGCTGTGCTGGTCAGCGTGAGTGCTGAGGGCTACAAGAAGCTCGCCGTCTGGCTCAACGACATGGGTACGCCCTGCAGGGGAGGGCCCGCTGCCTGCCTGCTGCGCCCTGGGAGGAAGGTCCCCACTGCCCTGTGGGGTCCCCGCCGCCCACAGGGATCTGGGCCGCCCCCTCACTAGCCCCCTCGGCCTCCAGAGAATTACCGGCTGGAGAGTGCCTACGAGAAGCACCTCATCATCAAGGTCGTCCTGGTGAGTGGGGGCCAGCAGGCGGGCAGGGGGTCTGCCCGAGGCGCAGCAGAGGCTCCTGGGGGCGGGGACGGCAGGGTGACCGCACACCTGCCTCTGCAGTTCCAATTCGTCAACTCGTACCTGAGCCTCTTCTACATCGGCTTCTACCTCAAGGACATGGAGCGCCTGAAGGAGGTGAGAGCCCGGCCCGGCAGTGCCCCCATGGCGGCCGGCGGGGGCCACACCTGGCCAGAGGGGTCCATGGGCTCTCAGCCCCTCCCCCCCCATCCTGCTCTCCTCTCTGCCCGTGTGTCCGTCCTCTCTCTGCCTGTCACCCCCGTCTGTCTGTCCACCTGTCCATCGGTCCCTCCACAGCTCCTGCTCGTCCTGTCCCTGTCCCAGAGCCTCGAGCGGCAGCTTCAGGCGGTGCTGGTCCCGCTCGTGGCCCTGCGGTTCCGCCTGCTCCTCCTCTCCCTCCAGGGCCTCCTGCTCGTGGCCCAGGCCAAAGTACGGGTGTGGGGCTGTGCTGGGGGCCTCACGCTGAGCTTAGGGTGCATGCGCCGAGGGGATGGGGCTCTGCTGACAGGGTGCAGGTGGCGGGTACCCCTCAAGGCCCCAGGCACCAGCTAAGCCCGCAGGTGGGGCTGCAAGCAGGGCCGCCTGGAGCCCGCGGCGGGGTGGAGACGCACAAGGCCTGCCTGGGAGGTTGGCCAGGAGCGCTGTGGCCTACCGGGCTGTGGTTCTGTGGCAGATGAACAGCGGCAGAGGCTGAGTCCTGAGGCCTCCGTGTCCCAGGACATCCACAGGAGCAGAGTTAGGAAGCAGGTTCAGGGTGTGTGTCTGGAAACTTGCTCTGGGAGGGCAGGTGCCCAGTCCCAGCAGCCTGTCCCAGAGCCCAGGGCCCCACCTGCCCCCAATGCGGCCTCTCTCCACCCCCTTCCTGCCCCCAGATGCTGGCCACTCTGCTGATCACCCGCCAGTTCCTCCAGAATGTGCGCGAGGTCCTGCAGCCTCACCTGTACCGGCGGCTGGGCCGCGGCGAGCTCGGCCTGAGGGCCGCCTGGGAGCTGGCCCACGCCCTGCTTGGCCTGCTGAGCCTCCGGCGCCCTGCGCCCCGCCGCCTCGAACCCCAGGCCGAAGAGGGTGGCGGCAGCGGTGGAGGCGGGCGCAGGTGTCTCAGTGGGGGCTGCGGGGCACCCGAGGAGGAGGAGGAGGCCCCAGTGGAGCGGCGGCCGGTGGGGGAAGGCGGGGAGGTGGGGGATGGGCCGAGGGGGGATGAGGAGGAGGAGGAGGAAGACGACGAGGAGGAGGAAGATGAAGAGGAGGGTGAGGAGGGCAGCCTCCTGGACTGCGGGCTCCGGCTGAAGAAGGTCAGCTTTGCTGAGCGGGGGGCTGGGCGGCACCGGCCCATTCCAAGCCCGGAGGCCCTCCTGGAGGAGGGGAGCCCCACTATGGTGGAGAAGGGGCTGGAGCCAGGTGTGTTCACACTGGCCGAGGAGGATGATGAGGCCGAGGGGGCTCCCGGCAGCCCTGAGCGGGAGCCCCCAGCCATCCTGCTCCGCCGGGCCCGGGGCGAGGGCCGTGACCAGGGGCCGGACGGGGGCCCAGACCCTGAGCCAGGCTCAGGTGACTCGGCCCGGAGGCAGCGGCGGCAGAATCGGTCATCTTGGATCGACCCACCCGAGGAGGAATACTCACCCCAGCTCACCCAGGCCGAGCTGGAGAGCTGTATGAAGAAGTACGAGGTGAAGAGGGTGCCTGAGGGTGGAGGTGGTGGGCGATGGGGGTGATGGGGGGCCTGTGGTGTGGTTGGGAAGCTCCTGGAGGGGGAGGCTCTGCGTCCTGCAAGATAATCAGAGAGGTGGGCTTGACGAGAGGAAGGTGGTCTAAGGAGGAGACATCCTGGTCTGAGGGAGGGCCCGAGGCCACCCCCAGGTGCCCGCCTGCAGGACACGTTCCAGGACTACCAGGAGATGTTCGTGCAGTTCGGCTACGTTGTGCTGTTCTCGTCCGCCTTCCCCCTGGCCGCGCTGTGCGCTCTGGTCAACAACCTCATCGAGATCCGCAGCGACGCACTCAAGCTGTGCACGGGGCTGCAGCGGCCCTTTGGGCAGCGAGTGGAGAGCATCGGCCAGTGGCAGGTATGGGGAGGGCCGAGGGCTCTGAGCCAAGGCCCAGAGGGAAACGGGTGCACCAGGCAGGAGCCGGAGCCCGCCTGACCCCCCGTGTCCCTCTGCAGAAGGTGATGGAGGCCATGGGCGTCCTGGCAATCGTGGTCAACTGCTATCTCATCGGCCAGTGTGGGCAGCTACAGCGCCTGCTGCCCTGGCTCAGCCCTGAGGCAGCCATCGTGTCCGTGGTGGTGCTCGAGGTGGGGCTGCGGCCGGGCGGGGGAGCCGGGCGGCGGGCAGGCATGCCCGAGCCTGCAGCCTCCTCCTCTGTCGCCTCAGCACTTCGCTCTGCTCCTCAAGTACCTCATCCACGTGGCCGTCCCCGACATCCCCGGCTGGGTCGCTGAGGAGATGGCCAAGCTCGAGTACCAGCGTCGGGAGGCCTTCAAGGTACACGGGCGGAGCCGGGCTCCGCCACTCAGCGGGGCTTCTCCACCTTGCCTGGCTGCAGCCCGGCCCTTAACAGTAGGGCAGGTGCACAGAGCCCGGTGGAACAATTAGTGCTCCAAATGGGTCCAGGCCCTTCCAGAATCCTGGTGGAATCCAGCACCAGGCTGGCGCTCGTGAACATTTGGTCACCTGCCAGCTTTCCTGGCAGTGTTCCGTTCAGGGCCAGGGACAAGGGTGCTTCCTAGAAGCCCAGCATCAGCCACTCCTCAGAAGCTGCAGAGCAGGCCAGGGACTTGGCAGCGCCGGCCAGCCGGGGGCGCGCTCCACGCTGACAGAAATGCTCTCTGTTTGCTGTCCATGGAGCCCTCACATGGAGCACTTCAAATGGTGCTGGTGCAGCTGAGAAATGGAATTTTTATTCTATTTTATTTGAATTATTTGAATTAACATTGATGAAGCCACGTGTGGCTACTGGCTATCGGACCGGCCAGTGTGGATTCGTCTGTGCCAGTCACGGCTCTGTCTCTCACAGGTTCTCCAGAAAGCAGGAGACCATTAAGGCCCAATATTTGTTTCCCCTCTCCCAGCTCCTAAGACAGTGTCTGGCATGTGGCCAGGGACAGAGTTGGTGGCCAGTAAACGTCCTCTTCTCAATTCTCAGCAGTGGTGTGGGTCCAGGGATGCAGTTGGCGCCCAAAAGGTTTGGATCTCTCCACCTCCGCAGAGGGCTCCCACTTGGGCCCGGGCTGCGGCTGGTGTCTACTCACACACCCGCCCTTCCCAGTCCCCGTAACCTCTCCACTCTCCACAGAGACACGAGCGCCAGGCCCAGCACCGCTACCAGCAGCAGCAGCGGCGGCGGCGGGAGGAGGAGGAACGCCAGCGCCACGCGGAGCATCACACCCGGCGGGAACACGACGCCAGCGGCCGGGAGGAGGCACGGGCCGAGGACTCCGGGCTGGACCCCAGCGCCCCCGAGAAGGCCTCAGCCAAGGCCAAGGGCAGCGGGGCAGGCGGCCACGGACCGGAGCGGCCCAAGCGCCCGGGGTCCCTGCTGGCGCCCAACAACGTCATGAAGCTGAAGCAGATCATCCCGCTGCAGGGCAAGTTCCTGTCGTCGGGGGCCGCGTCCTCGCTGGCCGGTGCCGGATCCGGCCCCACCGCCCGGCCGCCCCCTGCCCAGTCGCCCACGGGCAGTGACACCCGCCTGCCGGCCTTCCTCAGCTTCAAGTTCCTCAAGTCCCCCGAGACCCGGCGAGACCCCGAGCGCAGCCACTCGCCACCCAAGGCCTTCCACACCGGCAAGCTCTTCCCCTTCGGCGGCGCCCGGGCTGAGGCCGGGTCCAACGGGGTAGGCGGGCAGGCCCGGCCAGATGGGACCCCTGGCGGTGGCAGTGGCAGGGCCCAGCGGAGTGGGCCAGCGGACGAGGCTGCGGCTGAGGAGCCAGATGCCCCCCGGCCCGAAGAGGAAGGCTCAGGTCACAAGCCTTAACTCGGGGGCGGGGACTCCGGGCTGGGCTTTGGGGTAGGGGTGGGTGGCCAGGCCTGGGGAGAGGGGCTGAAGGAGACAGGAGGCCCGGCCTCTGGTGTCGCTGGGGACCTGGGGACCTGGTACATGGAGCCTCTCAGTCAAAGCCTGCTCAGTCTCCCTGGGACCCTGGAGAGCCTGACACCCTGTGCCTGACGCTCCTCACCCCAGGGAGGGATTCCAAAGTGCCCCTCCCCAGGCACCTCACCCGCCATGCTCTGGTGCCAGGAAAGAAGAGGGAAGCCCTTGACCGTCTGGCCTAGCCTCTCCTGCCCCCACAAGATCCCACACCCAGCTCACTCGGGGGGGAACCCCCAGGCCTCTATGCAAGTCCCCACCCCACAGCCCGGCTCCTCCAGGAGGCGTTCCTCTGGGGCAGGGGCTGGGGCTGCTCAGCCACAGGCTGCACCCACATTAGTGCTGAGCAGAGGCGCAGGCCTCACCCCGGCCCCTCCCACCTTGCCAGGGCTCAGCAGCCCATCCCCAGGGAGCCCAAGAGGGGGCAGCTGCAGCAGCAGGGACATAGGTCAGAAGTCAGAGAGACTTCCTCAGATTGTCCCCTCCCCATGAGGGGGAGGGGCCCAGTGCCCAGAGGCAGGGCATGCACCCCAACACGCCCACCCTGTGTCCCTGATCAGAAGCAATAAGGCCCTCCATGTGCCTGGAAGCCCGGGAGGGAGTGCGGGCAGCGTCCCGAGTGGGTGCAGCGGCGGGGGCGGCACCCCCGGAACGGCCCCTCTCACCTCCGCAGGGACAGCGCTGGCCCCCGTGGGCGCCCCCGCCCTCCGCACCCGCC